ATTGTATTGACACTTCCTACACAATTTTATTGTCCTACTGGAAATAAATAATTATTATTATTATTAAAAATTGTTAGCAACAAAAATTCTCTGAACTTCAACTTGTATAATGTTCTTGATAAATCAGTGAAAAAATTGGAATTCAATATTCAAAACAATTATCAAAAAGTTTCTCACCGAGAAATGTTTTTACAATTAAACGGAATATTTCAACCAAGCAAGATGTTTGAAATAGGCATAATATATTATTGTTATATGATGGAATTGGCCGATACTTGATGAAAATCCATAACTAACGTATTCAAAAAACAATTACCATATACAATGGCTTCGGGCCACAGTAAAGTCTTTACAGTAAAGACACACCCGAAGAAGTCATTACATGGCAAAACACGTGCACATGCTGTTGGCGATACAACTGCCGGAATCGATTTTCAATTATCGATACGCCCTTCGTGGTGTGAACGAATGGTTCTTTTAGATAATTTGATTTACAGCCAGTCTTCAAGTATACCAATAATGTATTTCTACATAACATTGTTGAATAAAGCTCTACTCTTCTTGATAGAATATTCATCCAGGATGGCGGAATAACGACTTCAGTCACATGCCGTTTTTGATGGTTTTAAACGTATTGGAAAGGTCAAAACCTCTAAAAGCGGGTGCCCCACGTTTTGAATGATCGAGAGGAATTTTCACATTTCGATGATTGTTCTTTGCTTTTGCTCAACCAAAGCGACCAAGTTATGGAATGTGAAAAACAACCTTTTTTGAATTGAAATGATATCAAGATATTACATCTGAAAATAAATTGCATGAATCATAAAGAATGAGAAACCCAAACTTACTGGTGAAGAAACAAATTATTGTGAGGTGATTTGGAAATGAAAAATGTTTCAAGCCAGGAAAACCCAAACATTACACTGGGACTAAAAAAAAAGATATTTTATTAAGGAGCGATTAAATATCATTAACAATGTTAAAATATTATGAATATACTAAAATAGAATAGTGTGAAGATTTCACACAGATATAACATTCATACTATTGGTAACTATAATTATCACCAACAAATATTGTTTTGTTTGAATGTTGATGTTGACTACGATTGATGATTGTCCATGAATATAGTTTCCAAAGATGATGAGAATGAAAAAAAAATCAAAATTATTTTCAACTCCAAACAGCTATTTTAATCACCCTCAGATGCCTATTAAGGAAAATTAAGAATATTACCTTCTTGAATGCCGTCCTAAGGCCATCCACATTCACTAATGCTTGGCGGTATGTGTCAGAGCTTAACTGTTATCATTTTGTTTCAGTTGGAAGATAATAAAAATTTGGTTGAACAATGTGTTCAAGGAGAAGGCTTGGTTCAAGTCAATGTTCAAGTTCAAACTAATTTGAAGAGAATAAATATTATTGATGTTTTGAAACCTGCCGAAGATTATGTTCATATAGGTAAACATCATTTTGTATGTTACAATATTCAAATGGTGTGGATATACCGATAGAGTGTGGGGGTTTGACTTAAATAGATGAAAATAAGCTAATGTTAACATTTTTGTCTTATGAAGAAGATGTAGATACAAAGAAGAGCTCAGATTCTGACGTACCCAAACAACCTCATGCCACCGAAAACAGCAAGAACAGCAAGCAAAAAAATGTAGTAGTTCAGTGGCAAGTCGATGATAACTACAAAAAGGAACAAGAGAGGTTAAAAATTCCATCAGATACCAAGGAGTGGTATGTTGGCTAAACTATTATTACTAATTCAGAAACCTCAATTATTTACTTTGTCACTAAATTCTATGTTCTTATGCAACTCAAAATAATTGTCAAGTCATTACTGCAGTTTAGTTGAAAACCATAAGTTTACCTAAATCTCCCAATTGTTGAAATTTTGAGCATAATGGATGTAAATTCATACGGACCATAATTCATATGAACTGAAGGAACAATCAGTAGCTATTATAAATGACCTAATATTCAGGACTCAACTGCAAAATGAAATACCACAACAGAAATCAGAATGAATTTATTTATATTCAGCTAACTGGCACCTTAGATCTTATCATTTTTGTATATATGTAGGTATCATATTAGGTTAGGTTAGGTTAGGTTAGGTCCAAAGTGAGTGGGTCTATAAATAAATAAACCCAGCTTCTTAACAAAGCCGATTAGTTTGTATGGTGAGTGGTCTTTCAGTTCAGATGGTAATAGGTACCATGTTAGATGAATCTCTGAATTGGGATCTGCATATTGCAAGAAACTTAATGCAGAATTTTTCGTGATTAAGCAAATGAAATTATTTGTGGATGAAAAAAACCTCTTAAGTATAAATTTTGCAATGGCATAGTCGCATATTTCTTCAATTAGAATGTCATGGCGATGTGGTATGAGATTTTGATAGAATATTTGTAGCCCAAAACGCACAATATGGATTATCGTGATAGGTTCTGGTCCGATGAAGCTGCTTGCAGCACCCTCCATTGCAAGGGAGCCTCATTGCCTTCCAGGTCAGTGTGGCGAGGAATCCAGACCAGAGACAATTTATTAAGTCTTCCTATTGAGGAGAGTTAGACGTTGCTCAGTAGAAGCCAAGAGCTTTCAACGCCACTTGACTGTCCGAGAAAATTTTGAGTGACTTGTGTGTGAGGTTGGATTTTACCAATCTCTCCGCACACAATATACGCTTGAAATACAGTCGCAAAGGTTCCTAGGCAGGTTAACACTTGATGGATCAACAACTATATGCTCTTAATATTTCCTTCTCCTGGAGGATTTAGTCCTCTCTACTTGGGAAAAGTAATGTATAGTTCGTAGTTGACAGTGTAGGTCTTACATCAGGCATCTTTCCTCTATCTAGCGCCACCACTGCTAAGGGAACCCCTACTCCTCCGAACTTCCCTCCCCCCGTATCACCGGCGCCTTTCCGTCCTCTCCTTCCACTCTCCAACCAATCCTGTCCCCGTTCGTACATCTATCAATCACGTGCTCTGCCGTTTCAGGCTTCCTATAGTTACAGGAGCAGGGAACCTCCGGACCCAGGTTAAATCTTGCCAGATATCACGGAAAGTTCCCATGTCCCGTGAGCAGTTGGACAGCCTTCCGTGACAGATCTAATGATTCATATCCGACTGTTCTACCAAATCTGTAGAACAGCTGCCCAGTCGTACCTCTCTCTCATTCCCTCTGCCATCCTCTTCTGATATTCTCTTTTATCCCTTTTCTCTCATCTAACTTACTATACGCTTTTCCTACTTCCCATGTGACCTCTGTTTTATTCATACCCTTGGTGGCTTCCTCATTAGCCTTCGTATTTCCTACGTTGTTGCCATCGTGTCCCCTATTCCACGTGATCTGGGTACGTACTCCCCTAGCACTCCTTTCCTTGAACATCTGCTGAATCCTTGCTACCCTTTTAGTCCTCACTCTTCCTACTTTCAGTTGTTTCACAGCCATAGCAGAGTCACTGAATTAATTTCACGCTCTCATCCATGCTCCATATGCTGGTCACTCGCTCGATCGCAATCAACTCTGCCTCATTTACGTTGCTTTGTCTGGTGATCCTTTCATTCCTCTCCCCTTTTATATGCCCTGCCTATCCCCATTATTTCATCATCCATCCTCACTTCGGCATCTGCATATACTTCAATCACTCCTTCATCCTCCATCTCTTACAGCAACACCCCTTGCCACCAGGGGAATATCCTATTGACTCCTTTCACCCTGTCCCCAATCTTTCTTGCCCCGTTCACTATCCATTCTTGATATCTGGCCCATCCTTCTATCTGTAATGGCGCCATTCCGGTGATGACACTGAGCGCAGCCGTTGGCTGTAATCCTCTTCCAACAGGAAGGGCCTCTGTGCTGCACTCAACTGTCTCCCTATGCACCCTACATGCACCCAACATGCACCCTATTGCTGCACTCAACTGTCTCCTCACCCTGCTATCATGCACCCTATTCCCCCACACCTGTACTCCATACAAAGCCGCGGGTTTGGCTACCCTTTCATATATTACTCTTACACATTCTCTCTTTAGGCCAATGTTCCTCCCGGTCCATTTTCTCATTTTTCCCGCCAGCACACTCAGTTTTTTTCTTACTTCCTTGTGGTGGGTCTATGAACAGTCCACCACAATTCCGAGGTACTTAACGCTCGCTATCGTTTCCATACTTTCCCATTCATACCTAGGACCGGGGGTCTTTCATCCCTCCTAGTTGGTATGTACATACACTCCGCCTTCCTTTCATTGTAACTCAGTCACATGTCCTCCTCCCATGCCTTACATTAATTCCATACCAACTTCCATCTGTCCTCTATGCTTTCGACAGAATTACCCTCGATGACATGCTGGTCATCCGCGTTGGCTTGCACTTGTAATCCAGTGGCCCTAATGCCTTGTCTGGCTTTCATACTATTGATTCGCTCAAACCATGCTTTCATCACTATCAGCCATGGTGTCGGTCTCAGACTTGAACCTTGCGGACAGCCTTTGTTCACCGTTTCAAAGGCTGAACCACAGGTGACTGTTCTCTCTCCTATGAAGCTCATGCATTAAAAGCGTTCGACAGGTCCAACGCCACAACCAGAATATGTCTCCTTCATCTCTTATTTTCTCTCATTCTAATCACCATCTCTACTGCCATAACAGTATCCATCCTCCCTCTTGGTGAGAATTTTAACTTTCTTTCGCACCAGATTTGCATCCTACCGTTGAGAAGCCTGTCCAACATCCTTCCCATGCCTGGGATTTCCGTCCTTCGTTGGTATCCAAACAACCTTTGTGCGCTTCCTTGCCTCGGGGAAAAGCCCTCTTACCAGACAGGCATTGAAGATTTTCATCATACAGTTGCCTTTCCATTCTATCACCTTACGAATGACTTCGTTAGGTACCCCATCCACCCCAGTCGACTTTCCATCTCAAACCTGAAACTGGTCGTATAAATAAAAGTTACCAGTGGTATTTAGACAAAAGTTTTTTTATTCGTTTCATTTAAGTGATCCTGAATTACCATAAAGTAAGTAAGTCCTCAATCACACATATTAGATATGAAAAACGTGAATATTTCTAGAAATCATTGTTTGAATATAAATCCTAACAATTCATCTTGTATTGTATTCGGAAATTCTAAAGACAGACAGAGGGCCATACATAGTAATCACGACAATCACGATATTGAATTTAGCGATGAAATTAAATGTTTGGGACTTGATAGACTACAAATTATGCTTTCAATCACATGTCAACTCACTAATATGTAAAGTTTATGGATTGTAAAAAAACTTTATTCGATCAGACATCTTCTCAGTCGAAACATGAAAATCATATTATGCGATAGTTTAATTTTATCCATATTCAACTACTGCGATATCGTCTATGACCCTTGTCTCAATCAAATCACATCATCAAGAATACAGAGAGTTCAGAATGCATATACCAGATTGATTTTTGGTTTGAAATTCATAGATCATGTATCTCCTTCTATAAATCAGATTGGGTGGCTGAAAATGATTAACAGAAGAGAACTGCATCTGGCTAACTTCTTTCATAACCCCAGAATAAAACAGCAACCTCAATATTTTCTGAAGAAGTTGATATACAGACGCGATACACAAGATTGAAGTCTCAGAAATCGTAGTGAATATACGGCATAAATCCAAACAGTTCCGTCTCTTATCAGCCCGTTAGTATCTACAATATCATCGAAGAAAGTATGAAACAGCTTTTTTCATTATCTTTCAAATATAGATTCAAAAAATTTGGCCTTAATAAACAATGATCTTGACATCAAGTAACCAAATAAAAAGTTCTTTAAAATCTTTCCCGTTTTAGTTCATTTTTTAACAGATTATTTTCAACAACTGTGTCAGCAATCTATATATATGAATCAATAAAATTTATCATCAATCATCCAGGCCATTTTGACATACATCGCAAAACGCATATTTACGAGACAAGACAAAGAAAAGACTTCTCATATACCATCCATGCAAAATCCCTATATGAACGTATATGAACTATGCTGAAATGAAATTTTATAATAATCTTCCGAAAAACGAAAGATATTGTCGTTGCTAACAGATTTCTGAAATCTGTAAGAAAATTCTTATGAAATCTAGAGCCCTACAATACTGATGAATATTTTCTGGCCTGTGGAAATTTATGAACCAAATTTTATTCAAAATTGCACTATGTATTTATAGAAATTATCTCTACTTTCAGTAATCATGCACAATATGACGCACATTTTAATTTGTTTGTAATCGTGTTTGAAACTTGAAGCTATTCATTTTGAATGCTTCATTTTTAGATTTATATGTACACATAGATTTGATATTTTTACAATTTTCCTTTTGACATATTTCTCAGACAGAAATATTCTGCTACTCCTGTGAATGATTATAAAATACTCTGTTGAAATAAATGTAGCTATCTATCTATCTATATCTAACATTTTAGAATTAATTTTATTTGTATTTATTTACCTATGTATGCTTGGTGAAGTGGAAGAGTAGCGATGTATTCTAAACTCCGCCAAGTAAAATAAAGGTCATTTATTATTATTATTATAAAAAATAATATAACCTTTGGGCGTAGCGTAACCTGAGTGCATATGTAAATACTACTTTACNCGACGCCTATGTCGAGGCGGGAATTCCTTCTTTGTGCTGTTCCAATTGGTATTGGAAATACTATACCACTTGTATTTGCAACTAACGTAGCTGCAGTTTCGTCCTATAAGGAAATGTTTAAACCATTGTAATCATTTACAAGTGTTAAAAAACAAAGAAAGTTTCATTTCTCATTTTTCATGGTGAAATTTTCCAAGTGCAGTACGCTGTACACTATCAATTGCTTGTTGTGTAAACTTCTTGTAGAAATGATAGTTTCTCAAATTTATTTCTCTGTTGGCTGTCACAGAGAAAAGTATTGACAATTAAAAGTGTTTGCCACTAAAACCACTTTTTATTTTCTAGATAACAACTAAGAAAGATTTGAAGATTTTGAACTACTCCACGGCTGTAAGATATTTTGACCCAGGATCTAATACTCCCAGTGGTAACAAGACTGGAAATAATGGGCAGATTCAGTTATGGCAATTTTTACTAGAACTTCTCACAACACGGGAATACAAAGCCGTCATTCAGTGGATTGGTAAGATTTTTTATTTATACAGGTTATTATTATCAACCTATTGATCAATAAAGATGGCTGGTTAGGATGAACCTGAGAAAATTGTCATTGAATCAGCTTACCTTCCTTACGATAGTCGGGAACCACCACCGACCAGGAATATGGACGAGCTAATAGCTCATAATTGGCTTTGATGTCAATTGATTCTACCTGGTCTGGGGGAACACTGATACCAATGAAAGTAGTGAGCATTTACTACAGTTTATTATGACAAACAATTTAATTTTATACTGTGGCAATAAACCTACCTTCATAAGCACGTTGTGCTGGAAAGTGATATATTTATCACACTATTACTTATAAGTAACTAATTTGAGAAATGGAATGTGTCTGATGACGAAATTTGTTCAGATAATCAGCATATGAACTTTGGAATCGGAGGGTCTCCTACCTTGATCATATCTATTCAAAACCACCAGAAAAAAAACATAAGTCGAAATACAACAAAGCCCTGAGGAAATCTAGGAGAGATTCAGACCCAAATATACGCTAGACTGAAATATTATTGAAGGGATCTCGGTTGTCAATAAATAATCTGTGAGCAAATCACAAGTCTATCACAAAAGGTGAGGCACCCACAAGGTCACGCAGAGAGGATTGGGTGGTGGCGAGAATTTGGTAGATTTGGATGAAATCAAAAGAGCCATAAACCCGTTCCAACCATATCTGTCGCTGAGATTAGATTGCATTTGCTCAGTCTGGAGTCTGATTAGAGCCTTCATTCTGAAATCTGCGAAAATGGGACAGGACTTGTTGAAGGTCTTGAGACCAATTAGTCTCATGTCAATTACATAAGTTACCTTATCAAAAAACTACTTGACAGGCATATTAGAGACACAGTACCGGCTACCAAATCACTGCATCAAGGCCAATATAAGTCAAGATCAGGTATATCAACAGAAAGGGCTTTATGCTGGGTCATGAAAAAAGCAGAATATGTTTACAAGAACGCAGAAGTTCTTTCAGCTGTTTTCTTGGATACAGAGAGCGCATTTGATAATACACCCCCAGAATCCATTAAGTAGATGTCGAGGAGAATAGGGATCCTATTGATTTACTGACACTCATATATTAACGTACAGCCGAAGCTACTGAACCTAGAATCTTGAAATATATAGGTAGGTTGTTTGTAAACAGTAAATAAGCATCAAAAAAGGGAATCAGGAATTTCCACCCTCAAGAGGAAAAATAGGGGTTTAAAGATTGTATTGAATTTCGTCAGTTTTGAAGTTGGAAACCTGAAATTTTGTAATAACTTGATGGATGTAGCCGTTACTACAAGTTTAAGTTTGAGAATGTCCATATAGGATGAAACTGCAGTAACGTTATTTACAAATAAAAGTGGTAAAAAACATAGAAATTTCTCTTTTCATCTGAAATTTTGTGTTAATGAGAAAATATATCTTAACTTTTTGTTTGAAATGGTCTGTCACGAAACTTAATGTGACAAAACAAAATTCTAAGCGGGCGAAGTCGCGGACAACGGCCAGTCAGTTCATTAAGCTTATGCAAGCTTATTTATTTGTATGCAGATGTACTCTATGGACCAAGCCTCACAATTAGGAATAAGAAAAAACTTCAAAAGAAAATTGTGTCTTCTGTATGTCTGATTTCTTTGTGAAGACACAAGTAGGATTTTATTGCTCTATATTGAGACTCCTGTTCAAAACATTTTTTTCGATTTCTCGTATGTATGTTCATTTTAGCAGTATATGTAACACAATTTTTTGTGAAGATATTGTGATGTTTTTTGCAAAAGTGACTAGGTGTGAGAAATATAGTGAAGGAACTGTTAGTATTTCCATATGTTCGAAATATTTTCACACTCTGCAATTTATTTTCAGCATAGAGTTAATTATCTTCTTAGCATTTGCAGCTGATTCCCAGAAAATTACTACAACCTTATTGAATTATTGACTAGACTTGGGCATAGTAATATACTTTTAGACTAGGTTAGGTTAGGTCTAAAGTGAGTGGGTCTATTCGACCCTCCACCGCAATCCGCAAGGATTTATTGTGGCTCACACCAATTCACACTCGGACAAATAGACCCAGCTTATTAACGAAGCTGACTAGTTTTTATGGTGAGTGCTCTTTCAGGTCAGATGAAAAGGGTACTGCTCTGCCGAACTCTAAGAACCTGATTCGGTCCCCAGCGGCACAAAGGCACAAAGTATATGCTCTGCTGTTTCATCATTTTCCAAACAGAGGCGACACACACTGTCTTCCGACAGTCCAAGTCTCTGCATAAGATGATTCAAATGACACCTGTAAGAAGGTCTGTTAGACATCGTAGTTCATTCCTACTGTAGTCCAACAACTGTTTGGTATCAAGCTTCGAAGGGTGAATAAAAGCCTTGAAGTGATTCAATCCTGGAAGATTCTGCCAGAAATCCATAAATCTTCTTGCCATTCAGGTGTTCAATGTTTGCTTGGCAAAGCCTATAGCGATGCCAATGACAGGTTCTAGTCCGATGAAGCTGCTTGCAGCACCCTCCTTTGCAAGGGAGTCAGCAGCTTCATTACCATCCAGACCAGTATGGTCAGGAATCCAGTCCAGAGACAATTTGTTAAGTCTTCCTATCGAGGAGAGTTGCATTAAATTGATTTGTGCAATTGCACGAAAAATGTAGAGTGGTAGTAGATTTGGAAGGATCTCCATGGCTGCTGACGGTGTGGTACTGATGGCACCACTGATAGCCAGACAAGCCTGTCTCTGTAAGCCAGAGATCTTCGCTTTTAGACTATCTAAGGATACATATAATAGAATAACTTTTTTCGAGAACAATTGCCCTAACACCAAACTGATATTTTTGCACTCGACGCGTTTCGCCAACAAAGTTAGCATCCTCAGGAGATGAAAATTGATACCTAGTCTAGTCTGGTTAATCCTTATATACTAAAATTTGTTACCTGAGGTTGTATACCTAAACAGGACTAAACAGGATGGGTCCCGCTTTTTAATCTTCTGTTAGGAAGAGAATAATTACTAAGAACTTGCAGGTAGTTAATTACCGAGAAATTCCATATTGGACTTAAGGTATACAACCTCAGGTAACAAATTTTAGTATATAAGGATTAACCAGACTAGACTAGGTATCAATTGTCTTCTCCTGAGGATGCTAACTTTGTTGGAGAAACGAGCGTCGAGTGCAAAAATATCAGTTTGGTGTTAGGGCAATTGATCTCGAAAAAAGTTATTCAACTTTCACACCAAAGGTTCCAATCTCATCGTTATACAGAATTACAGATTTTAATGAAGCTTTCAACTATTTTTATGAAATTTTACTCAACCATTTTAATCAAAATTTTCCTGAAAAAAGATTTAATTACAAGGACAATAATAAGAGATGGGTAGATGATTCAATCATACATTCTGGTACACCATTGAGAGATTTGTTTAGTTTAAAAAATACATATTCAACTTTTTTTCCAGTCTATGAAGAGGCAAACAGAAAAAATCAAGCCTTAATTAAAGAAAAAATATTACCAAGATAAGATACATGAAGTCCCTAATAAGAGCCGTGCCTCATGGAATGTGGTATCTGAATTAACAAATAAACATAGAACATACAATGACATAAATATTAGGTTGGAGGACCAGCTATCTCTTTCTTGTTTAATACTTTTTTATCAACACTCCTACTAAGTTAGTGAATCAAATACGCTCTATAAACAGTGAATTTGAAAAATTAGTATATTTCAACACTCACACGATGTATTTGACTCCATACACAGGTGATGAATTGTTTATACTATTAAATAACAAACTACAAAATAAAAAATCATCAGGTCCAGATCCTATGTTCATATTAAAAAGAGTTCTTCCTGTAATTATTGCGCTTTTGACGCATTTGATCAATATGTCATTTACAGTAGGTGTTTTTCCAAATCATTTAAAAACTGGAAAAATTATACCCATTTTCAAAAAAAAGGATCCAACATCCATGGAAAATGATCGCCCTATTAGGGTCCCCTGTGGATTGTCTAAAGTTTCTTGCACGCCTCTGTTCATTTTTAAATAAACATTCCATATTAAGTCAAATGCAACATGGATTTCGTTCCGAAAAATCAATAAATACAGCAATGTTTTCATTATTAAAGAAAATCCTAGAGTATGTAAATGGAGTAGAGTGCCCAGCCGTGATTCTTTGTGATTTAAGTAGATCATTTGACTGCGTTAATCATAAAAAAACTTATTTCAAAATTAAAAATGTATGGTATAAGAGGGGTTTCTCTCAGTTGGAAAACAATATGTGTCAGTTCAAGTTGAGAGAAAAAATAAAATCTATAGAGTCAATTCCGAATATTTGAATTTAGTATGGGAGTGCCACAGGGTTCAATAATGGATCCTTTATTGTTTGTACTCTATGTAAATAACAGTGAATCAGTAGTTACCGAAGGTCATTATATTATGCAGATGACTTTTCGCTAGTTATATCTGCACCAGATATAAAAGAATTACAAAACAATTGTGCCAGAATAGTAAGGCGGATATCAAATTATTTCAATAACAACGATTTATTTTTCAATGCGGACAAAACAGATGTTATTCGTATTCACAACTGACAAAACAGAGTGGAAAACATACATTTCATGGTGAACAATGTGACCCTAACAAATACTGATCACAATGTAAGATTCTTGGGAATCATTTTAGATGAGTTCCTCAATTGGAAAGGCCACTGTCAACAATTAATATCAAAACTTAATTCATTGAAGTTTCTCTTCATCAATTAAGAACAGTTTTAACAAAGAGTCAGCTGCTAAATATATATTATGCTCAAGTAGAATCAAGACTTAGTTATTGTATCTGTTTCTGGGGTGGCTCCACCACAGCAGGAAATGTTTTATAGCACAAAAGCGAATTCTGAGGTGCATGGCAAATTTTTCTAATAGATAATCATGCAACGCACTTTTTAATGATTACGGGGGTTTGACTATAACATCAGTTTATATTTTTGAACTGTGTATGTATGTGTTCAAAAATGAATCAAGATTTACAAACCCTAATAAGAGCCGTGCCTCATTGAATGTGGTATCTGAATTAACAAATAAACATAGAACATACAATGACATAAATATTAGGTTGGATGACCAGCTACCTCTTTCTTGTCTAATACTTTTTTTATCAACACTCCTACTAAGTTGGTGAATCAAATACGCTCTATAAACAGTGAATTTGAAAAATTAGGTAATTTCAATCCTCACACGATGTATTTGACTCCATACACAGGTGATGAATTGTTTATACTATTAAATAACAAACTACAAAATAAAAAATCATCAGGTACAGATCCTATGTTCATATTAAAAAGAGTTCTTCCTGTAATTATTGCGCCTTTGACGCATTTGATCAATATGTCATTTACAGTAGGTGTTTTTCCAAATCATTTAAAAACTGGAAAAATTAGACGCATTTTCAAAAAAAAGGATACAACATCCATGGAAAATGATCGCCCTATTACGGTCCCCTGTGGATTGTCTAAAGTTTCTTGCACGCCTCTGTTCATTTTTAAATAAACATTCCATATTAAGTCAAATGCAACATGGATTTTGTTCCGAAAAATCAATAAATACAGCAATGTTTTCATTATTAAAGAAAATCCTAGAGTATGTAAATGGAGTAGAGTGCCCAGCCGTGATTCATTGTGATTTAAGTAGATCATTTGACTGCGTTAATCATAAAAAACTTATTTCAAAATTAGAAATGTATGGTATAAGAGGGGTTTCTCTCAGTTGGCTGACATCATTTTTGGAAAATAGAAAACAATATGTGTCAGTTCAAGTTGAGAGAAAAAATAAAATCTATAGTCAATTCCGAATATTTGAATCTAAGTATGGGAGTGCCACAGGGTTCAATAATGTGTAGGTGAGTTGAGACTGGCCTGAATGAATGGTTCTTTTATATAATTTGATTTACAGCCAGTCTTCAAGTATACCAATAATGTATTTCTACATAACATTGTTGAATAAAGCTCTACTCTTCTTGATAGAATATTCACATACGTGGTAGGTTTTCATTATTTTTCATTTCAAGTTACTGATAAACATTAAACATAGTTTCAGGTTTGTAGATATAAGGTATTTACATCATAATTATTTACATATTTTATAATTTGTCATTTAAAAACTCAACATTTGAGTGGTAAACTTTAGTTTTGTTAACTTTATCATTATGAAACAACAAGAACTAACTTTGTTGGAATAACTATTCCAAATGTCCCTGCCTCCCAGACCGATAAGTACTTTGGAGTTTACAGCCCTCAAATAATTATTTCATTTTGTTTTTCAGGTAAAGATGGAGAATTCAGATTGAACCATCCTGAAATAGTTGCTCGCTTGTGGGGTGTACGCAAAAACAAACCCATGATGAACTATGAGAAATTGTCAAGGGCTTTGCGTTATTACTATGATGGAGACATGATTTCAAAAGTGCATGGAAAAAGATTCGTCTACAAGTTTGTGTGTGATTTGAAACAGTTGCTGGGATATAGTGCAATTGAGCTGGCCAATTTAGTCAAAACTGGTAACCCAAAAGGAAATCCATTATAATTTCATTTTTTGTTGAATCCTATTGAGTTGGCAGATATTCTTATTGTCAAAATAGAAATAATGTAATAATAATAATAATAATGCTAATGTACATAATATTGTGTATAGTTAGAATTTGTTCTTTGTAAATAGTATTACTACATAAAATTTTTATATTGAGCATAATATGTAATTTTTTGAAATATAAATTTTATTTTGGGTTTCAAAAAAAAANAGCGATGCAGGCACTCCTTATTGAATCTTTCGATTCTTCAATATTTTCAAAAGTTGTTCTGAATACTTGATCTTTTATGAAGCCCCACAACGAAAAATCTAGAAGAGAAAGGTCCGGTGAACGTGGTGGCCATTCAATAGGATCATTATTTCCTATACACCTTCCTGGCATATTTGTATTGAGGAAATCTCTGCAGATTCTCCTGCGATGTGGTGGAACTCCGTCTTGTTGGAAATACTCATATTTTCTCATGAGGCTAAGTGGCAAATCTAATAACTCAATTAGAGTCCCTGATAAGAAATCCAAGTATAATTCTTCAGTCAGAGATGTTTAAAAAAAGTGGAGGCCAATAATTTTATTATCAACACCAAGCCATACGTTAACACCATATCTCTCTTGAAAATTGGTTACTCTATGTAAATATTCATTTTCTTGTCGCCAATGATAATGTTATTGTTGTTGAACCATCCGTTATTGGTAAATGTACTTTCATCACACCACACATTTTTTTACAAATTTCATTATCTTGGCATTATCGGTCAGAGGTGTTTAAAAAAAAGTAGGGGCCAATAACTTTATTATCAAGAACATCAAGCCATACGTTAACACCGTATCTTTCTTGAAAATTGGTAACTCTACGTAAATATTCATTTTCTTGTCGCCAATGATAATGTTATGGTTGTTGAACCATCCGTCCATCCATCACACCACAATTTTTTTTTACAAATTTCATTATCTTGGCAAAATTTTCTAATGAGCCATCTACAAAAACCTTTTCTCCTGTTGAAGTCTGTTAAACGCAAATGATGAACTTTCCTGACTCGATAAGGCTTTTATTTATTTTTCTTCAAAATTTTCCGTACAGACGTAGTGGATATGGCCGAATTATGAGCAATTTCCCTCAGAGATACTTCCTTGCTCTCAATTTTTGTATTTTCCATAAATCCTAAATCAAATTAATGTCACTTTATCATTATTGTGAATCTTCTTTGAACTCACCTAAAACGCCGATTTAATTATCTCCACCATATTCAGTAAGCGTACATTTTCTTCCAGAGGGTTTTTCAAAAGATCCATAATTCTGTAAAGTATTTTCGATTCGTTGAAAATATCTATGATTAGGTTGTGGTCGTTCACGATACAATCCTGATACATTGCCAGAGATTTGGTAGCATTCCTCAAACATCTCGAGTATACAAAAAGCATATCCACTTTTTCGTCATTGGAAAAAGTCATGTTTCTCCCTTAAAATCGCTCAACGATTAGAATAACTTTTATTTTGTGTGTGACAATTAACTTGACATTCACATTCATGTTTTTCATGGCTTACTTCAAAAAAAGAAATTATCGCTTATCATGTTTCTCGTGAAAATCATCTATGACTTTTTTAATATAGTATTTTTATTAGTTAATTCTTGTTGATATCCTCATTTTCAGAACAGAAATTTTTGGGTAGCTACAAATTTTCAAAAGACATTTGGAAATTATGAATGGCTTGGTATTGATACAAATATTATTGATCTCTCTTTTTCAAGACGACTCTGACAGAAATTTAGTTGGATTTCAGTGAATACAAATATTTATAATTTCAATGAACGACATTATCGACAGGAGAACCCTGGATTTCAGTAACATTCGGAAATTCGAGCTGTTAATAAAAAATGATAGTGATGATGTGGTTTCGGGAAGAAACGTCGGGAAATATAGATGTTGTGATATATGAACGAATTTGTAATTATAATGACTACGAAAATGTATAAAACAATATACAGGTCCGTATTTGAAAAACATATATTGATGATGGAATTCAATGAACGAAACGTTGCATTGAAAAATGAGTTCACCCAGATTATGGAGCACATGAAATAAAGCCTTAATTTCTCTGTTATTTTTTGATATTATTGAAAATGGAAGCGGTAGAGCAAAAAAATAAAATCTGTCGTTTTGAAATATCTGACATTATGTCAGTCAGGAAAGTGGTTATTTCAGGCAGGCATAGCTAAATCCTATTTTGTCATAGGTCACCTGGAAGAAACAAATTTTTCAAATTTCACTCGAAATATTAATTTTTTTTGGTGTTAATAATCTGCAGTTTAATGTCATCAGCCTGTATTTTATCGTCCACAAATAACGTTAAGAGAGAAGGCTTCTGTCACAAGCTGTCGCTTTTTCAGTTTGACTCTTCGAGACCCAATGAAAAATTTTAAAGTCATTTTCGTCATGAATAACCCATGTTTTAACTATTTCAAAAACCGCAATCCCATCAAATTTATATCAAATATATTTCGGAACTATAAAAGATCCTGTGACAAAGAAGCTTCCGTCAAGAGGAACCAAAGCGAACCAGCCGTGGTTCATCAAAAAGTATCCTCGGATGATTTGGGAACGACCAAGCAAAAGTCAGAAAGAACTATTTCTGTGATATCAAAGACGAAAGGTGTAACTTCAAGCACCTCTCATGAAAGTTTGAGGGTGACATGGTCAAATTCAAACTTCTGTCGGAGCTCTAGCAATATAAGCCTTCAGCAGAAGATCAGTTATGTCGACTTGAATATTAGAGAGAAATTGGAAAATATGCCTATTTCGGACAGCTTCAATGAACCACCCATATGTTCGAAAAGTTCTTACCCTTGGCAAAACTTCAACATCGATAGTGTAGTGAATACAAAGTTTAACGCTATAAAGTCTGTAGACAGCCTAACGCATGAATTGTTCCAGACAAAAAAATCAATTTTGAAGAGGCATGTCGGTAATGAAATGCCACGACAGACACCCAGCAAAGAAGTCAAGTTCAACAAAACTGCTTCCATGATAATCTATCCGAAAGTAACCAACAACGTGATGAGACAATCCAGGATTAACTTATCAACTGCTAATAATAAGGGTAATATTTTAGGAAAAAGGAAAGTAGAAGAAGTTTTCCTTGAAGATGAAAATGCCATTCGTCGTGATAGCTTCCGGAAAAACTGTTTCAAAAACAAGAGTGGGAGAAAGTTGATTAATGAAGAACGGGGATATTTTTGGTATATGAACAAGAAACAAAAAACCAATTGAGTTGAGTGTTCGAAATGTTTTCTCTGATTTACTCAAAGTAAGTCAAAAATGAGATGAAACGCATTGAAAAACTGTCTCAATAAACCTCTACAAGCAAATATAAGTTATTACTTATTATGTAAAACACTCAAATCAAAACTTGTTTTCCACACCAGAATAAAAACACTGTCTCTGGACGCATATTTCGCTAACCAAGTTTCATCATCAGGATGACACGACTAGAACTGAATTGTACAACTAAGTTAGATTATCGTTTTTACATTTCGACGAAATATTACCTCGGTAATGAGGGTCATTAAATGAGTACCATTGAATTAGTGTCGTTAAATGAGTTTCTATTTATTGGGTTAGTTTTTGGTCTCCTAATTTTGAAAAGTAATAACTGAATAAATTATATATAAGTATATACCCCCTACTTATCACGTAATTCAGTCTATTACATTCAGAAAATGTTGAGTACTAGTATCCTGATTTGTAATAGTCAAATAAATTAAAAATCGTAAAATCAGGAAATCTGAAAGAAAAAGCAAACTCAAACGAGAGAGGTTAAGATTGAAATTATAGACCTGTATTTCATTATTTCGGACTTCCATTGTCTAATATGATATAAATTGATTTGAAATACCTGAATACCTGAAAAATTGATCTCTGTCAGAATATTGGTATATATAATGTATCTTTCCCGCTTGGAAGTTTGTTCGCCTGATGAAGCTGTCACAAGTTGATCTTTATCTTAGACGAAGGTTTCATGCATGCAGTCAAGTCGCGTTGAAACTAATCAACTCTCAGACACTTTGCTATCTGGATAGGATCTTTCCTGTACTAACGAGAGGTAATACCTCGAAACCGGCTGTAGGTGATCCACTCAAATAATTTCAGTAAGGTCCTGCAGTTGGATGAATGAGAATCATCTGCGAGACTAACCTATGTGAAGTATCTTGCATAAATGTCTGTCGGATATAATTCAATATCCAGCGTGATATCAGCGAGGGAAGTAAGTGTTTTCCGACAGGCATTTACCAGAACCTACTGTGTAGGGGAGACACCAAGTCTATTTTTCGGAAAAAGAGAGATCATCGCTAACACCGCACCACAGTAAGCCCCTTACTTGTATGGACTACCCAAAATCCACAAAAAAGGATGTTCCGCTCAGACAGATCATTAGCTCCAGAGATTCAGCCACTCAGAACTTGTCCAACTAATTACTACCAATAATTAAACCATTGCAAGGTAAAACATCATATTTTGTGAAAAATTCAAGGCATTTCGTTGAACTACTAGGAGAAATTCGAAGTCAAAGTGGATCAAAGTGGATCAACTAATCAGTTTCGACGTGGAAAGCCTCTACACCAACGTTTCTGTCGAAGAAGCACTTCAAATCGTACAGAAGAAACTATCCGAAGATGGGGACCTGAAAGATAGAACAAACTTACCGATACAAGTTATCATGGAATCACTAGGATGCTGTGTACGAAACTGCTACTTCCAATTGAAGGACGAATTCTTTATGCAAGATGATGGACTGCCAATGGGGTCGACACTTTCACCGGTTATAGCTAATAAACATATGGAGTGGTTTAAAACTCTGACCTTTGAAGAAGCCCACAAAAAGTCCGAGTCTGGTTGAGATACATAGACGACACCTTCATAATATGGAACCATGGGAATGCAGAACTAGACACTTTCCAGGAGCACATCAACAACGTAAGTCCTTAAATCACTTTCACAATGGAGTAGGAAGTCCACAACGAATTGCCTTTCTTAGACGTATCGGTGAAGAGGACCGACACTAAATGGGAAACATCTGTATATCGAAATCCCACTCACACAGGACAGTATCTGAACCAAAAATTCAACCACCATCAATCGACCAAGGCAGGAATCATCAAGACTTTACTAGACCGTGCCTTCGGGCTCTGTAATGCAAAGGAAGGTCTCGAAAAGGAACTAGGCATCATCAAAAATGACCTTCAACGGAATGGCTACTCCAGAGTGATGGTAGAATAGGCTTTAGCTAGAAGACAGCAAAAGCTCCACAAGGAAGAGAAGCCGCCACAACCAGTACTTGTATTTCCCTATATCAGAGGATTATCGAAAAGCACAAGAAGGATTGGGTCCAAGTATAATATCAGGACCTGCTTTAGATTTGGGAACACTATCTGTAGCAGCCTCACGAAAACCAGGCCACCAAAAGCGGACACATCCAGCGAGGAGAAACCAGCAAATCCGGAATAGCAGAGCATGTTTGGACTCATCAACATAATATCAAGTGCGCTCAAGCTGAAATCATCCACAAAGAGGAACACTGGTTCAGGAGAAAATTCAAACAATGCATTTAGTTAAGCTAGCGTAGAGATACGTAACATATGGAAACCTCTAATCAAGTGGAAAACGACCAACTCCCGCCAAACGGTCATCTCCCGCTAAACCAGGCGGAGAGAGGGAAGAGGGAATAGGGGAAAGCACTCGAATGACCTATAAATAGTCGGATCTCGGAGGAATAAGTCCAGTTATCACCCGAAGACGATTGTGGATACTAACAATCGAAACGTCGTGACGTAACTTCGTTTGGAATCTTTTAATTTTAATTTTTCATTTTTTGTTAATAATATTTTTTTATTTTCAGCTTTNGAGTCTGTAATATCTACCTCATAACCGTTGTTGACCGCGATTTGTTTGATCAAACTCAGCTCCCTCTGGAAATTACTCTTAGTTTAAATATGTTTAAAGTCTGTTTTTCCCTTAATCAGCTGTCGCCCCCATACGAACGACAACTCTCAGAAGTTGAGAAACTTGTGCGAACTTAGGACTAACGAGGTCTTTCCTTTCAACGTGTGATTCCTAACACGGGAATATTCAATAATTTGTGAAGCATACTATTGAATGCAACAACTTTATGCTGGTAAGGGTGTGTGGAGGAATTATGTATGATAATGTCCGTGCAAGATGGTTTGTGGAAAATTGCAAATTCATGTTTATTGTTATTTTTCGTAATGGTTAAGTCAAGGTAATTTATTGAATTACTTTGGAGCTACGCATTCTCCAACCTTGGTATCAATATGTTTTCCTTTATATCTAATTGAAAAACTATATACCGACTTTCGTGTTCCTTCTACTGGAAATTGCAGAAGTAGCCTACTCACTTCCTATGATATGTAAATTCGAAAACCCTCGATGAAAGTGTCCAGAGCACAGAAGCTCAGTACCAAGTTTTATATATTCAAAGTTGAAAATGACGAAGGTACAATGAGGAGGTCTAGTCTCCTTTACTGTCCCCTGGATGTAGATGTCCTTCTACATCTAATCGAGATGCGAAATATCAAGTTTCATATAGCAAGCGCCAAACGTGATGGCGAGCGATCGCGCTCATTCCTCAACAATCTTCAGAAGGAAGATTTAACTGTTGAAACTTCAATCAGTTTCTAATCAGTTTAATCTTCCTCTTGGTGATCGAAACACGTGTCGAGGTGTTAAAATAACGGTTTGGTGTTGGGATAAAACTCCAGTTATATTCAACCCATATTTTACAAATTATATTTTTCATAGTTTTTCGTCACCCTTTTTTTGTTTTTTTCATCTTCCACAATCCGAAAAATATGAAAATTATAATGTAGAACATTATAGTGTTGAAGTACCCAATGAGTTACTGCGTAAATTCAAAGAAGTTTTCACAAAAAAATTATCAGCAACTTGTCGAATTCGATAATATTGCCTATCAAAAAAAAGATCGAAAATTTAACAACCAAAAAAAATGTAAGATTCATTAGCATTTTGACAATGCTAAGACCTCTAGATATATCTTTCGTCTTCGCAGTAAACGCATATAACACTGATGATGTATGCCGCAGTAGTGGACAAAACGTTTGGTACTTTAGATTTCATTAGATCACCGCCTAATAGCCTGGATTCTGTTTATCTTTGATCAATATAATTTCTTATCTCATTTTTTGTTATTTAAAATTTTTGAATACGATAGGTCAGTGATAAACAGAAAGGAATGGGAAGGTGAAAAATCTCAAAATGGTCAATATATTTTTGAGATTCTGACATCAACTCATTGTCCCAACTCGAAACATCCTGTAAAAACTCAATAGTTTGCTGTTGTAACAACTATGTTTGTGTCACTGTCAAATTTGTCAAATCACATTAACATATATTCATCATTCAAAATTGTAGTAAATATATTCCAAATGTATAAATTACTGTCTAGAAGTCTACCAAAATGTAACAAGTCCTTGACAAAATTCACTACCATTTACAAGAAAATTCTAAGTGTTTGCCATGCCAGTACGTCACATCAGAAGAAAAATGCCCCCAAGTCACATTCGACGAATACAGAGGAAAATTCGCAACGAAGTTCAAAAAAAAATGAAATAACATTCAAAACATCAAGGACTTTTTCATCTTCTTGTGTTGGGAAAACCGGACTGAAATTTCTGAAAAAATCTCTCTTCCCGGAAAAATGCAACAGGAAAGTAAAATTCTTGATGTTTTCTACTTCATCTAAATTTTGTTATTCATCAACCGCGAATCAAGCTAAAGAGAACAACAAAAAATATTTCAAAAACCATAGAGCTTTGGAATTATACAAAAAAGCGTTTGAACAGTGCATGAGAATTAAACATAAGAAACAGCGTGTTGATAGGGCACACAATATTATTGGATGGACTCCGGAACCTTTCAAAATTAGATATCCCCATGAATTAGTAGTCATTGCTGATGAAGAGAAGGCCGAAAAATCAAATAGTAAACGCAGTAACAATAACAAAATAATGATTGAGGAGAAAACTCCGAAACAAGTTCTTAGACTCATACCCAAGAAGTCTCTAACCATAAAGGAAATGGCGCAGAAGAGAAAGGTGCTGGAAAAGAAGAAGATGACTTCCAAAAACAACAAAAAACCCCTGAAAATTGTGTATCCAACTCATATAATCAAACACAAATTAGGTTTGACACCATCTTATCATATCGATAAATCGGTGAGAAAGAAAATTGAAAAAATGTCTAATGCCAAATTCCGCGAAGAACAAAAACCGAAGCCTAGGGTCCAAATAAACACTATAGAAATTATACCATATAAACAAGAATTAGATCAGAACTTGTTGAAGGTTATTAGTGCTATTAAGAAGCGACGAGAAAAAATTTGCGAGAAAAATGCGAAAACTGAGGATTCTATTAAACATCTCATAAGTCAACATCCTATGGTAAAGAAGGCCACCAAGACAGCAAAAATGTCAATCAACCAGAAATATAACGTTATCCTATTGAAGAGCCAAGCAAAAGTTCAGTTGAAAATGTTGAAGCCAAAGGAACTAGTGGAAGGTAAGTAGGGAATATTTGAATATTTCTGTGCATCACTCGTAAACACTTTGTGCATTTTTAGGCAATTCTATCATCAGGGTTTTCTAATAATAATAACTTTTCTATTTTCATTTGAGTTTTATAATCATTAATTTTCAAGCATTATAGGGCCTGATAACAAAAAATATCTTTATTCATTGATTAANCACTTGGTGATCGAAACACGTGTCGAGGTGTAAAAATAACGATTTGGTGTTGGGAAAAAACTCCAGTAATATTCATTACCACACCAAAGGTTCCAAACAGTACATCATAAGTATCATTACATGAGTTAGCATCAACGGGTTGTTTTGAATGGGATCTTTGTCACCGTTCTCATTGCACATATTTCGATTTATAAACTTTCGAAGACATCTAAAAACTTCGAAATCTGAAGCTTGATTAGCGGTACTGGACTTTTCTCATTTATGAAACCGAATGAGTGGAGCGTGCTCTTTATAGCTAGCTATTATAGTCCGGTTAGTTTGGAAGTAAATACATAAAAAATAGCAACAAAATACTCATTGAACGTCCAAATTTATGAGAGAAAATTGAAATGATCAGGCGAGTCCAACGACATATGAAAACATTGAAGAATGTATTCTTATATTTCTCCTGATGCCTAACTGCTGTTGGAAAAGTGTTATAGATTCATTTTACTCCAGAGGTTTCAAATTTAATTTTCAAGATGTCACATTCAGTTGAGTTTGAAATAACGGTTGTCTCACAGTTTGATTGGAATGAAAGATAAATACGACATTGAAATTACCTGAATTGAATGCAGGTATTAATGGGTAAGGGTGCGTTCAGAATAAAATTTAATATATTACATGTACAATCCTGTAATAACTAGGACTGTATAATTTATAGTCTACGCTACTATCCCTGTCTCAGTTTCTTTTAAATATGAACGAAAAGTAGTAACCAGAATAGAAATGAAAGAGCCTAAAAACGACGGAATCGTACCTAACACTGGAAATGCTTCGATTCCAGTGACTGAAAAAATATGTTGATGTGAAAAATAACCCCCAAGCTTTTATTAAAATTTTGCAGTGAAGTTGTGTTCAAAAGTTTCAGATATCAATAAATTGGGATTTTCTGAATTATTCACCAATATACAGGATATCGAGTATTATAATCATGTTGGATGAGGATTAGTTTTTATGAATGAAATATCATATATGTTGATCTCCTTTCCGTCAGAAAATAACTCTGAATAACTGAATTTACTCCAAATTATGAAATGATATTTGTATATACAGAAACACTAAATTGATAAAGAAAACAATTTTTTGAAGTTCATATTGGATAAATACTTTTCTTAAGTACCGGCATAAAAAAATTAGGACCCTAATTTGTTTCATAAATACTTTCGTTTTCTTTTTGTTGGTTAATTTCGTGCATACAGTATGTTTCAGTAAAACTTTTTTAATATCAACTTTAAGGGGGAAAGTTATTCTTTATTGAAAATTCTGCCAAGACTCAAACCTCAATCATCAAATTACTTCAGTCGTATAAGAGGTTTTTCAAAAATATACATTTTACTCATGAGTAAAGAACTTTTGCTTTTGACAATGTCGGAAATTGTTGATAAAATAAGTTGATCAGATTGCAGATCATGCTAAAATATGTAATTGCATTGCTTTGCAGTGAAAAAGTGAAAAATGGTTTTCTTATTTTCTTTTCAATATGTCAACTTTATTGATTATTTTCACTTTATATCTCAAATAGTCAATAAATATCATCATTATTACTACAATTCCAATGATATGAATATCGAGAAGTTCTTTTAACGTGTCACAAATATATAATAAGGGACATTCTTTGTGACCCTCAATACATTTTTACGACTTTATTGCCTTATAGCTGATAAGTTTCTCATTAGTTTGACAGAAAACATGACAGGTGAGCCTCGTTCATAGCTTGCAGATGTCATAGGAAATGTCTAGTAGGTATATTGCATATTTTTTTCACTTGCTTTTTGAGGATGGCTATTCTCTGGTGAAAATCAACTCTATTCAAATTTCTGGAACTAGATCAGCTCCATATTTTCAGATCTTCAGTCTAAAAAACGTGTGGTCAATAAGGTGAGCAAAATTTTCATTTTCTGCAATCTATACACTGGTTTCCTTTGTATTGCTTTTATGTTTTTGAAAAACTGCCCAGTTGGATCTATAACGTTCTTAATTCGCCCTCATAGATTTCATCGTGTTGGCTTTTCTTTTCGGATATCAGTTTGTTTTTAAGGACTCACTTAATTCTACACTTTTCTAATATATGTGCCGCCTCTTTGACCTGATCTTCTATTGGTTTTTTATTTTGCCTTATCGCCACATAACATAAAATAATGCGTAATTTTTTTGTTGGTATCTTTTTGGCAACACTGTTTTTGACAGATCAACCGTGAATCTTGTTCAAACTTGTTCAGTTTGGTCTATAATTTAACCATGAGTCGATTTACGAATGAACAACGCCTGCAAATTATTGAATTTTATTATCAAAATTCATGCTCGGTGAAGAAAGTATATCGTGAACTTCATCCAATTTATGGACAATTTCGTCAGCCTACTGAGGGAGCTATTCGGAAGCTTGTGACTAAATTTCGAACCCAGTTTACATTATTGGACATCAAACCACCAACACGCATACATAGACTGAGGACCGAAGAAAATATTGCGGCTGTATCCGCCAGTGTTTGTGATGACCGTGAAATGTCGATTCGCCGCCGTTTGCAGCAGTTGGGCCTCTGTTACTCCACTATGTGGAAAATTTTGCGAAAGGATTTAGGTGTAAAACCTGGTGCAAGAATTAAAGCCACACGACCTACCACAACGTCTAACATTTGGTGAATGGGCGCTGACAAAGTTGGAGGAAGATCCACATTTTAATCGAAAAATTGTGTTCAGCGACGAGGCTCATTTCTGGTTGAATTTATACGTTAACAAGCAAAATTGCCGCATCTGGAGTGAAGACCAGCCACAAGCATTACAAGAGCTACTGACGCATCCCGAAAGGTCACTGTTTGGTGTGGATTATGGGTCGGTGGCATCATCGGGCCGTACTTTTTCAAAGACGACAATGGCCGGAACGTTACTGTGAATGGCGAGCGCTACTGTGTGATGATTGACTACTTTTTGTTGCTCAAAATGGAAGAATTGGATATGCCTGACATGTGGTTTCAACAAGACGGTGCTACATGCCACACGGCACGCGAAAAAATGGCCGCCTTTAGTGAACAGTATATCTCACGTTTGGGGCCCGTCAATTGGCTGCTTAGATCGTGTGATTTAACGCCTTTGGATAATTTCTTGGGGAGCATGTTAAAGCTCATGTCTACAGGGATAAACCAGCAACGACTGGCGCTCTGGAAGCCAATATTGAAGCATTTATACGTGAAAAACCGGTCGATTTGTTAGAGAGAGTGTGCCAAAATTGGACCTTGCGCATGGGCCATCTAAAGCGGAGCCGCAGACCACATTTGCATGAAATCATCTTCAAAAATTAAATTATATTGATCGTTCTATCGATTCCAATAAAGATTTCATCAATATTTTCAAATTTTTTGAGTTGTTTCGAAAATAAAATCCTATACCTCTTAAGAAATCACCCGTTAATAATATCTAGTGGCATATAGAACAACGAGGATGAGGCAGCTAGAATGGTTGCTAACTCCAACGAATATGAAGATGTACCACTCCACCTAGAAGATCTGAAGAATTATAATAAAACCGAAGAAGAATGTGACTGGCAGACTCTTTGGAATGAATTTGACGCGAAACTGAAATTCTCAAAACCAAGTGTAAATAAGCGAATCTCACCATTGAAATTGACCAGAAAAAAACAAATTGTTCTCACACGTCTGCGAATCGGCCATACAAAAATGACACGCCTATACGTGCTACTTGGAGAACAAGAACCTTTATGCCAAACAGTACAACAAATACTTGTAGAATGTCCAGAATATGAGAAAAGCACGAGACAACATAACATAACTGGGGTAATGAAAGAAATTCTATATGACGAACATTGAGCAACCTGATGGCATTCTTGAAAACCGCAAATATAACAGCTCAAATTTGAAGAACGAATAACAAGTACGCGGCTAATAATCTAGCAGTTGAAGCCGCAAAAAATATCTATCTCCTTTTCTCATTTCAACGTTCAGTCTCAGCTTCATTCTTATATTCTGCAGCTGGAGGGTATTCTTCAGTTTCTTCCAGAACTTTCCGTAAATTAGCCAGGACTTAGGATATGTTCATAAAATAACTTAGGCTGTGTTCGAAAATCAACTGGGTATTTAAAAGCAAATGAATAATTAGTAGAGCATCGTGCCCTGCATGCTAGTGAAACAAGTTATCTTTGGAACATATTATATTGATACTAGTCCCCCTGGAACTGCATCTTGGGGCAAGTGACCAAATTTTCTCCTCCTATATCCGAGGCTGACCTACGACTCAAATTAATAATCTCCTTTTTTGAAGTAAGTGAATATATAATATTGTGTAGATATGTATTGAGCCGTTCAGAAATCGTATCAAAAATATGTCGTAGCTAAAAAGTAAATCGATGAAAAGTTGATTTGGAGAATATTTCAACCATGTTTATTCTTGTATTGGCTGATCAAATTTCGATTATCTTCCAATTTCCATTCCATTCCACTTCCATTTTTGAATGCACATCAATTTACTTGCAGAATATTTTAAGAGAATATGCGGTATACAGGGTATTTATCAAACATGAACTATCCTAAGGATATTTTGTCCTTTGATGATCTTTGTTTCGAAGATACGGGGCGAAAAAGAATTTCGACAATAACAATTTTGGTAATTTTAAAGTTATCAACGTAGCTGAAACAAAATTATAGCTTACTATACCGGATGTAACAAGTAATAAAAAATCCAACAATCCAAGTATTCCGAATACTACAAACGGCTGCAGACATTCAATTTGAATAGTATGTCTTATGACTGATCATTTGTATGTGTCGAATAGGTTGAAACTGATTAACTTTGTCTATTTGACGTGTTCAATATTCAAAGTCTTGTTAGTGAAGTCCTCTATCAGAATGGCTATAGTAACGCAGAGATAGCTGACATGCATTTCATTCATGGACTTGCTGATGGCAATTCATTGGAATTTTCTGATTGATTCGGCCGTTACTTGTTGACGATCCATAGTGTGCTGTGCTAGCGAAACATATTGTGATATATTTTTCAAATAAAGTTTGTGGATATGAAATCGTGAGGTGTAGTTTTTGAAATTCATTGAAAGCTAGGCGGTTGTACGTTGAACGATTTCTAAATCGTAATGTGCCTAATAGAAAAACCTTCCAAAGTATACATCAACAACTTCGTGAAACAGGAGCAATGAAGCGAAATGGAGGACCAGAAAGGCCAATGACTGTTAGAACGGTAGAAGTAGAAGATAATGTGCTGGGCATGATAGGAAAAGATCCAGGTACGTTCACTTAAAAATTTGCCAATACGTTAAATGTAAATAACGGGACGATTTGGAACATCTTAGAAACTATTTGTTGTACCAATACAATATACAAGTTCAGGCACTTCTTCCTGCAGATTTTCTTCCACTTATTGCATTCTGTTAATGGCTTTTGTGCACATTGCTTCAAATCCCTCAACTACTGACACTTATTCTTTTTATCGATGAAGCCAATTTATCGAGAAATGCCATAAGGAATTTTCACAATAACCATGTTTGGGTTGAAGAAAATGCACATGAGTTGCTCAAAGATCACTTTCAACATGAGTTCTCGTTAAACGTTTGGGTGGGAATTTCAAGTGACTTTTTAATTAGACCGGTATTTCTGCCAGGAAGACTTACCGGCGAGGTACACCGCAACTTTTTAGAACAAACGCTACCTCAGTTTCTGGAGAATGTACCATCGGTTACAAGAAATACAATTTGGTTTGTGCACGATGGTGCACCAGCGCATTTTAGCATATTGGCTCGATAGTTTTCAACAGTAACATACGGAGATCGCTGGATTGGTCGAGATGGACTTATGGCCTGCTCGATCACCGAACTTGAACACCCCAGATTATTTCCTATGGGGCCACTTGAAGTCATTAGTTTATACTACTCCGGTGGAAGATGTGGAAGATTTGAGAAATCGGATGATTGCTGGGAGTAACGCAATCAGAAACAATCCTAGTGTTTTCAAAAGAGTTCGGGAGTCGATGAGGAGAGGATTGGATTCTTGCATACGAGCGAGGAGTAGTAATTTTAAACAGTTCTTGTACTTAAAGAAACATTACATGTAATTTTTGGTAATAAATTGTTATTGTCGAAATTCTTTTTCGCCCCGTATCTTCGAAACAAAGCGGCCTATCAAAAACCATCAAGGACAAAATATCCTTATAATAGTAGTAGGAATAGTCCCTTAAATTCTGTTTAGTAAACACCCTGTATAGATCAAACGTTTTGTTTGAATAAAACAAAAATATTGCCCAAAAATATATTATTTCTCAAAATAAACATCTTCAGCATATGAGTTCTAGTTAGTTCAATAGGCAGGTTTGTTTATTTGTTCGTGTCATCTTGGCTTAAACAGGTTAGAGCCTGGCTCCCTCACCCTTTCGACTGGTGTAGGTTAGAGAGACAAACGGGTCAAGACTGATTTATGGGATGGCGGCATGTCCTCAGACATCAAACTGTGTTATATAAATTTAGGTTTTAGGATTAGTTAGGTTAGTCTTTAAGTCATGATATGAATATTCAAAATAGCAAGGGTTGAGTGGTAGAGCACCTTCGGGTGAACTCCCCCTTGGGATTTCTGAGTAACAAGACGAATATTATGTAACATTTTATTTTTCATTGGAAATAAAGACATTATTATTATTATCATTACATTGTTCATCTTTCAACGGAGGGCATGAGGGCCTCACTCGACAGAGTGTCTGGGCCTTCTATATCTGGAGGATTCGTCTACAGCATAATCCATAGCTGACTGCTTAATGGAAGACAGCTGCACATCTCTGCAGATGGCTTCGTTCCGTGCGAACCACGGAGCATTCACTATCATCCGTATTAACTTATTTTGCAATCTCTCCAGAATGGAGATATAAGACGGAGCCGCTTGTCCCCAGACGTCTGAAGCGTACATGATGACAGGCTTGAACATCGTTTTATAGATAGTAGTCTTGTTCTTTAGGCTTAATTTAGAACGTCTGTTGATCAGAGGGTACAGACTTTTAATCCGACCCTCGATCTTTGCCTTCACGGTTGTGATGTGCGGGTTCCAGTTGAGCCTACGGTCTATTAGAAGGCCGAGGTACTTTACCCCTGCTTGCCAGTCGATCCTTCTTCCACAGATCCTCACTTTTCACAGATCCCACTTGGACCTCCTAGAAGAACCAGACAGGATCCCGATACAGAAAATCGGTGCATACCGATTGAAGATCTTAGGATTAGAAATCAGGTTTGATAAATCAACTCTAATTTCTAAACAACGAGGGGAGGTGTTATGTATGGACAAACCATGTTATAGATATAGCCAAGGCCAATTCCCGGAGTGCATTTACATTATCTCACGCTGGATACCAGGAATTCAATAGACGCTGCAATTCTACCCAAGCTTACCCGATATTATAAATATGAGTTTTTCTTTGTCTCAATTAGTTATAATTGTACCTTTGGCTTTAACATTGCTAATAAAATATAATTGTAACTCAAGTTTGGAAGCTCCCAATTCCTGCTAAAAAGTGTATATTTCAGTAATCTGACAATTTGAGAGTGACGTAAGGAAAGGAGAGGGCAACAAAGTTGTAAAAAATAACGTAATTTCGACATTCTCGAGCGTAGCTGAATTTTTTTCATTTTGAAAGAAATAATTCAAAGATAACGAAAAATATATAATCTGACGATTTCCGCAAGCCGAAATAACAATAATTCGTCGATAAAGTTTAATGCGTGCAGCTGTGTGATACCTATATTTCCCTCTCCGAGTTTCTATTCCTCTATTCTCTATTCACTTTTTCTCTATCTATTACTTTCTCACTCCGTCCCCACTCTGAATTCTGTTGCCATGACGCCATCACAGCTGATCACAGAGACTCGTTCGTGTTGAAGATGAAGATGATGATTAATTAACCAATTAATTAATGGATGTAGCCGTTACTAAGTGGTAGGAAATCATAATGAAGAAAAGAGAAATTACTCTTTCTATTTTTTTTTACCACTTCCATTTGTAACTAACGTTACTGCAGTTTCGTCCTATAAGGACATTTTCAAACTTATACAATATATAAGGACATTTTCAAACTTATACCTAAACAAGTTTTAGTTTAAAAATGTCCTTATAAGACGAAACTGCAGTAACGTTAGTTATAAATAAAAGTGTTAAAAAACCTAGAAAGTTTCATTTCTCATTTCTTCATTAATTAATTAACTGATTATGAATAATTAAATTTTTTTGAGCATTTAAAAACATATTTTCTTATAAAAAACATACACTTATTTATTTGCATGCTATTTCCTGAGCTTTTCAATTAATTAAGTTCGAAGAATATTTTTTTTCATATTGTTTTTGTCAGATTAAGCGAATCTCTTTAGATAATCGTCAGATTATGAAACAGCACGTCTAAAACATAGAGATGAACCATATATATCTTTATCTGACGCGCTTGAGTATTTCAAAATGGCGAATTTTTTTGCATATTATAATAATGGCCGCGAGTTTGCGTCAGATCGAAATCGTCAGATCATTGAATGAAAGCTTTTTTTTTTGTTGCACTCAACACCCCCTTAGAAAATCTGACGCGCTCAATTAATTTTTTTTTCTTATCACTTTTAACCCTTACGTACAACCACTCACATCATGCAAACGATCAGATTAACATACCAACATTATTAAAAATACGTAGGACATTGATGCTATCAATATCTGACGCGCTCGAGTATGTCTATGCAACAGTATTTTTTACATATTTAAAAATCTATAGCCGCTTCCCCCACCGACGGAAAGGTATATATTATATAACATTTTTTTCTTCTTATCATCTAAGCTATGCAACATAATATGTCTTAATGACGCTTGAGTAAATCCCCATTTTGCATTGTTGGCTCCCCTGCTATTACTGCTTCACCCACCTAACAACCTGTACAGCTCGGTCGTCACCTTGCTTTTCAGTTTGGGTGCCTACCCTCAATGATGGAACATAAGATTTACGAATGTGAAATGCATGCTGGAGTTGATTGTATTATTAGAGCTCCAAAAACATCCGGCAGCTTTTCGACCCACCGACCTCATTTTCCATGGTCGAAGTTAAGACATCAACCTGATCAGATATCATCACCTCAGATATCCATGTTCGTTCAATCACGTTTATCACTCGGACATTCATACTGGCCAAATGTGTTGTATCATTAGCCTTGTATATCCATATTCGCTAAACACCTCGCCCTGATCAGATATCAGTCGCAGCAGAAAATAATTGCTGAAAATAACAATTATATTAAGCAGAAAAACACTGAAATGAAATCACAATTGAATAAAACTCAAGCAACACTTGAAAATTGAACACTTAAGAAATAAAAATCAAAAGATTCCAAACCAAGTTACTTCACGACGTTTCGATTATTAGTATTCACAATCGTCTTTTCCGAATCTTTCAATTTCAACTGTATTATCGAATACCACATTGAATCAAAATTATCTCATCGAATATTTTATTTTGCAGATAATGATGCTGTCGGAGAACGATGTGGAGAACCAGACAAAGTGTCATCTGCGGGAGACAACGTAAACAAAATCGAAAAAAATCAGGAAACACCAGTAACTCCTCTACATCATTTAGCAAGAAACTCAAAAATAACACAACATCCCATATTACCAAGTGATACCCAAAGAGATATGAAGCAAATGATTAGATATCCAAAAAGGCTTTTAGTTGAAAAAAGTGAAACATTTGACGTTGATGGCATATGCTTGAAAACGAAAGAGAGCTACGTAGCTTACGTAGATGAAATTGGCGATATTCCCAAGAAAATTCCCACATTCCAGGAAAAAGTATATACACATCCTATAGAAAAACAAGATGAAGCGGTATCTGATCCTAAAAAAATTAATTATCAAAATTCTGAAAAACAAAACGATGCCCTAACAGATAAATCCGATAGAATCGCAAAACATGACAACAATGGTGTTGCCCAAAATTTATTGAAATACCAACTGAGTCAGGGTGGGAAAAAGGATACAGAAGCTGTACGAGATGTAGGTCATACGGAAAACCAATCCAAGATAGTGAATCCAGCAGAAAGTCTGAGGGAATATTTGAAAAAATTGAATGAACTGAAAAATCAAACTTCCATTAGTAGATTAAGTATAGCGAATTACCCAATTCGAACATCCTCTATGGTGGAAAATCTTAGTCTGAAAAAAATCAACGTGAACGAAAATAAGAATATTAAATCTAAAGAAATCGAAGGAAAGGAAAAGGTTCAAGAACTACTCACTAAAAATATCGAGAAGAATGATGACAAAAATAAAACTGATAATTTATTGAAATCGAAAGGCACAAATAAAATTGACGAAAACATAAAGCATGTCGACAAAAAGTTGGAATTCATAAAACCTGCGGAAGAGAAAATGAGAACAGTGAAAAATTTAGACAATATAAATTCTACATCCTTTAAATTAGAAGAGATTAACTCGGATAAAGCCGCTGAAAATCGGTCCAGTGAGGTGAAACCTTTATTCAAAAAATTATTGGATCATGATAGAGAGCAAGTAAGTGCAAATGAGAGAAAGAAATTCACGCTCATTCCAGATGAAGAAACTTTGAGAAAAAAATCTGAGGCAAAAGCTAAAGTTATAATTCCAAGATTCAGATCAATGCCAGAGCGAACATCAACCAGATCGCCAGTAATAAAAAATGCGCCAAAATATTCCTTGGAAAATTTTCAGCCTGATGATGCTTTGTCAGAAAAAGTGTCTGAAAGTGAAAATGAAAGGAAGGCATATCTACAAAACAAAATCTATAAGAAAATATTAGAACAATATGAAGTTCGAAGTAAATCTGACATGCATATGGGCAACAAAAAATCATCTCAAAATGAACAGAAGAGCATTGAACAAACTACGAAAAACATTGTTGATCCAGAAAAAAGGTTTAGTTCGAAAAATATTTTGAATAGCTCTTCTGATATACACGAAGGAAACTCTTCAAAAACTGAGTTGCGAGTTCATTCGATAGAAGTTGAACGGCAAAACGACCCGGTAAAAGACCTCACAACATCCACAGAAACTCATTCGAAAAATGCTTATCCAAAACAAACCCCCCAATTGAATCAAATTGATTACATAAAAAGCCACAGTGAGGAGTCTAAGTATAAAGAGAAGGTGAAAAATCTTTTAGAGCCTTCTAGTCAGTATCTAGAGAAACTCAAAGAAGCTGGAAAAAATCAAATGAGAAATTTGGGAGAACTACAGGCTCAACTGACAAACCAGCTGTCGGAAAATATGGCAAGGAGTTTGAAAATTGAAAAAATGATAGAAAATGCCACGAAAGTGGAGAATAATATTACAAATGAAAATGAATCAATCAAACTATCTGAAAAAGCTGTTCAACTAGGAATAGAAGAGGGTTCAAAAAGAAATGAGACAACAGTAAAGCACCCGAACCAGTTAACCAGCAGGACTGGTGAGGTTCAAATCTTACCAAATGATTTCAGTACTAGAGAGGCAGAAGTGACACAGAATGAAAAATATAAATATTTATTAGATACGAATAAAAATATCGAAACCGATGGAGACATTTCGAAAAGTGAATATTCTGAAGAGAATACACAGGCAGTTCCTTCTTCTTTGTCTAACAAGTATTCTTTGGAGCAATCACTCAATGAGCATTCCAACAAAGATAACGAGAATTTTAAGTATTCTGAACAATTGGTAGAAGTTAACAACGGTATTGTTTCTGAAAACAATGTAGCTGTGAAGGAAACTTTCCTTTACATCTTGAAAGAGAAAGATCCTGAACAGGATGATATCGTAACAGATATAGTAGAGATGAAAAATAAACTTGACAGTAAAAATATATCAAAAATATTAAAAGAAGAACCAGAATATAATCATCTACTAGACAGCTTCAAAAATTTACTGGATGTCTCTGAAGACTTCGTATCTCGTCACGGTCGAATGAAAGATTCTCATAGTGCAAACCATCTGCAAAACAAAGGGACTTCTCACCAGGTCATTCAATCACAAGAAAAGCCATTGAATTCTCATGAACCTTCACGTATCCAGTCCAGTGCTGCTCTAAACCGTCTAGACATTTCCAATCCAACCGAGGAGCATCAACCACCAATTCGGAAAGAAGTTTTTTTACAACCCCCAAAGCATTCTGAGTCTGAAGTAGACGAATTTCAGAAAGATCAAGTCGTTGAAAATTCTTCAGAAGAAAATACAAAGTTTCAATATAATCAAGACGTTTTTCAAACTTCTATTCACCTAAATAATAGGCCTTCAATCAGGAAAGAAAATCCACCAATCAATAAACCGAAACCACGAAATGAAAAGAAAGACAAGCCAAAATCTAAGAAAGACCTTGTTTTTCCCCCACCAAAAACCGGCGACACTCCAAAAATGGTTGAAGGTAACTCCATGATTGAAGAGACTGAGAAAAAAACTGAAGAAAGTTTCAGTAGTGAAGAATTCAAAAGGAAATACAGAAATTCGATATATGAGCAAATGGGAAAAGATGACCTTGAAGATATTGTTTTCGGTTACCGATACAAACCAAAACAAGATTGGACTAAAGGTTTAAAAAATTGGATAACCATTTTAGCTTTCATAGAAGAATTGAAAATAACATATAAAGACGGATCTGATGAAAATTTAATCAAAATCAGTGAAGAATTTAAACATACTGCTGAGAATATGACTAGTAACAAGTTAGAATTCGCCAAAATTGTACCAATAGAAGATCTGGATGATCCCCCCCAAAAAAATTGTGAAATTATGGAAAAAACATATCCAAAGGAGCAAAAAACTGATTACGAAAAACTGTCTGAAAAACCAGTTCCAAAATCTAAAGAAGTGGATGAGAATACTATTGAAAATAATATTTGTACTGCAAAAAATGAAGAAATCAGAAATGATGAATCAACGATTTCAAAACAGTCAATAAGTTCAGTTAGTTTGGATTTGCCACAGACAGCTGAAAAAGTCATGTTTATAGAACGTAATCACCAAAATGAGAGAGATGATTCAAAAATGTGTTTAGAGAAAGGAACGATTGTAGACAGAAAAGTCCATCAGAAGAAACACGATCTTGAAGAGACAGTTTCAACAAAACTGAGAAAGGGAACAGATGAATCAAAAGAATTGAAATGGCCACCAAAACTACTGAAGTTTAAATTTCCTCAAAAAAGAAAACAAAGTGAAGAGTTGCCACTTGAACAAAAAATTGTTGTAGATAAGGTCAGTCAACCTAAATTGTCACAAAAAAAAGTATGGAGTGCACGTAATCCACAAAATACTAGGAAACGAATTGGGTTTACCAAAGAAAATGTTTCTTCAAACATGAAAATTTCCGTTGATGAATCTATTCCAGTGAAAACTCCTGTATCAAATTTGCTGGAAAAAAATTTGAAACATTTTAAAACTGTAAACCAAAGGCCAACACAAGTACTTCCACCGAAAAATTGTTTAATGTCTATGACTAAAACTGACGCGCTGAAATCTAAAACCGATTCATGTCTTCTGAGAACGTTTCTTTTAGATGACGATGAAAATTTTGAAGGAAATACAGAAAAAACTGAGTTCAAGAAAAATTTGAAAAAATATACACTTACATCTAAAATTCATACTGAGCAATATTCAAAAAATAAAAAAAGTGATCATAACAGGTTTTCTAGACAGCTTGCCGACATCTCTGAAGACTCAAAATCCCCCGAAATAATAAAACATCAAGCTGAGACTTCAGCAAATCATTCAGAATCAAAACCGCCTCAGTATTCCAAAACAATGTCTTCTAAATTGGGGTTACCAACAAAGCAGTCCAGAAAAGAACAACGTTCAATATCTCTCGAAAGTAATCTGAAGTCGTGGAAATTATTGAAATCAGATAACTTAGGCACCTCTGATAGAAAGACTGAAAACAACTCTACAAAGGAAAACTATTCAATCAAATCTTCTCCACTATCAAAAATGTTTTCACTGGACGAAAATGACCCCGATGAATACGACAAGCCTCTAAAGGAACCAATGAAAACCTCAAAACTGTTGAAAATGTTTTCATTGGACGAAAACGATCCGGAGGAAATCAGAAAACCTTTGAAGAGAGCAAATACATTATTACTACCAACATTTGAAGAAACATCGTATCTAGGACAAAGAAAATTACGTCAACAGTGTAAGAACAGTTCCAAATCCACAGATAAAAACCAATGTAAGAAAAATGCCGATGTTAAACTTGAGACAGCAAAAACTAATATGAATGAACCAGATCCAGATAAAAAAAAACATTTCACAACACTGCAACAAGATTTGAACCAATCGAAAAAACTCAGCGAAACTTCAGAATCGAACAGACTGAAAAAATCTACTAGTTTCACTCCTGCACGTCTTCAGGAAAATATCTTAGGAAGTAAACTCTCTGCGAAATCTTCTTTGTTGACATCATACGACTCTTTTGAAAATACCAAGAAGTCATCATCGAATAAAAAGAAGAATTTCACAGATGAAAGCAAACAGTCAAAAAGACCCAAGTCTCTCGAAGTCTTGAACGTTATAGAAAATAGTACTGATTGCTTTTCCTTGTGTTTTCGAAAAAACAAGAAAAAGTCAAAAACGGCAGAAATAGTGCCAAAATGTGTGGTTAGATTAACTCTTCCGAAGACAACTAGTGAACATTTCAAAATGGAAGAGACAAATAGAAAATATAACGTTCATAAGAAAGGGTTTGTTGATAATGTATTCGATACAGAACGGTCTAACAATCAAACGAAAATAAATAAATTAGAATGCGTCTCTTCATCTCAAGGAATGTTTCGGGGAAAAGAAAAAAATGGAGATCATGAGACATATTTAGGAGGAAATAATGGAGATAGCAGAGGAAAAAAATCATCCAAATTACTTTTGAAAGTGATTTTACCAAAAAATCCTTATGCTCCGGGAAAAAAGGTGGTCGCAGATGACAACCAAAAGAAAAGTGATCCTAAGGCACCTAAAATTGGACCATTGCCAGGTAAGCTGAAAAATAAAGCAATCATTAGAATTAATAAGACTTTTGGTGTATCGGAAAAATTTCAACACAATAATACAGCATTAGAACCAAATATCAAAAAGGTGAGTAAATATGTTAATAAATCATTACGAACATTGAATTCACCGTCAAGTTCCAAAAACTCGAAGTCTGCTAAAAGTTACTCAAATAGACTGGATGAACCCAATCAAAGACATGTGCGCCAAGATATAATCAATTCAACAGCGGAAGAAGAACGAACAAAGGAGCTCAAAGATAAATCATTGAAAGAAATATATGGAAGCGTCTATCTCGAAATGATTATGGAAAAATATAGGGTAAATAACAAAAAATTAGAAGATCTTAGTGATCAAAATATGGTTTTGAATGAAATCAAAATATTTCAAAGAAAAAAATCTAAGGAACGAATTATCCAATTATTCGATAGAAATCTGAGAAAAAATAATAGAAATAGTCGCAAGAAAAAGGATAAAAGAAATATGGGGAAAAAATTGGACTCTGTTGAAAACGAAAGACCATCGTCGATTTATAAGATCCAGAAGATAGAACTCACAACAAGTAAAACAAAAAGCGATAACGTGAAACAAGACACAAAAGCACTAGAGACCGGTAACTTGAGAAAAAATCTTTCTCAATTTGGTCGTTCGACTGAACACATCGAAAATAACAACGAAACAAAAAAACTACAGAGAAATCAGAGGAAATATAAACTTGAAATAGATAGTGGGTTGAAACTTGAAGATAGTACTAAGAGATCTCATCAACATAATATCAGCGTACCTAATTCTGAGAAAAAAACTGAAAAAGTATCCAAAAATACAAAATACGGCATTTTCAGTCCAAGATATTGTTTGGAATACCTTGTAGATGAAAAAGAAAAGAAAGTGGGTTCTCAGAAAATATTGAGTCACTTGACGAAAGCAAAAAAAATACAAAAAAGCAAGCAGAAACCTTATGGTAACTTTGGAAATTACCATTCAGAAAATCAGTTCAAAAACAAGAAATATCACAAACAACCCAACACTCAGAAAGCAATTCTAAGGAAAGTACCTTCGAAGAATAGTAACAATCTAGAAGAAAATCTTGAGTTGCATGAGAGACCCTTCATGGAACTTGAACGGAAAAAACATTTGGTAAAGAAACCAATTTCGATAACAAAATTATCTGAAAAAGGACAGAACTCTTTGGAAAAAATCTCAAATGAATACATATATAATCAAAAAAGTACAAATAAGCCAGCACTGAAGGAGATGAATTTGAAAGCAAAATCATTTGGAAAAGAAGGAGAGAAGAATTGGAGTAAATATTTACTGGAGCGCTCACTTTCGTCACTTGGAAAAGAAGGAGACAAATATTGGAATAAATATTTTCTGGAGCGCTCGTTATCATCGCAATGTTTGGATTATGTGAAGTCAAAGGAAATGAATAATCGAAATGATTCTGCATCTTCTACGGAAAAACATTCAATTGTCAGGCCTTCATCATCAAAATATTTACTAGAAAAACAGGTTTCAATACCAAGGATCAATTTAAATCTAGACACTCTGCTAAATGACTCAAAGAAAAATAAATCTGCTCCAGAAATAAAGAATCTGATAGGTAAGTGGGGTAAAACAATGACTAAACTAGTCGAAAAAAATAATATCAGAAAAGCTCGAGCAAAAATTCAAGAAATGTTTCCAAAAATAAACGTTGTCATGGATCCTGTAGACTTTGGGGAAAGAATCATTGGAACTGATCTTTCCTGTATATTTTCCAACAAAGACTCAGGACCACACAATTACACTGAACAAAATGTTGTAGCAAAAATTGAACACATCCTTGACAAACGAGTAAAAAATGGAAAGTTTGACAGAAAAGGTAAATCAGGGTCTTTAAAAGTTAAGAATCACGATTTTGAGACTAGTAGAAACCTAGACAAATTCAGACATTTTAACAAATTTTTGGTTGCAGAAATGAAGAGTGAAATAGCTAGCAGAGACCAATTGATTAGTGATCAACAACAATCTATACAAAAAGAAGCAAAACCGTTGATCTACAAGCAGAAACAAAACTTAGTACGCATTTCAGATAACAAGAAGACTGAAAACAATAAGGTGGTTTCAAGACAACTAACTCCAAAAGTAACCAGCACACTAGTGATAGAGAAGGTTTTGCCAGTCTATCCGCCAATTGAATCAAAAACTGCGAAAAGTCCTACGACAAAATTTTGTTATCAAATTCAAATTCCCCCGCAATCCATTATGCAGGTGCTCTTTTCTCAGCCCAGGTTTGATGTAACCACCCTGACAGATGAACTTCGCAGAGAAGTTGTTCCAGTACCCAAAAAGTCAAACGCAAAATATCGAAATCTCAAAATTACTTACATACGAGTGAAGACAGGCAAACCGGCAAAATTCGATGAGAGCTTTTTACCAGCTTTGATGTCCAAAAAAAGCGAAAGAACCTCGGAGAACGACGATAAAAATAAAGAAACACATAAGGAGCAGATATTGAAGATGAGATATGAATTGTTAAAAAAATTACGAGAAGAATTTGAGTTTTTGAATAACGAACAAGTTAATCAAACAGAGAAAAATGATAATAAATCAGAATTTGGATTTAAGTTGACAGAAAGTAAAGATACTGAAGGGGAAAAGTTTCCAAAAAATAACACCGAGTTGTTAATTAAGAAGTTGAGCGAGAAAGACATGGCTGGAAAAAAAGATAAGCCCAAAAATTCCGATGACGATCCGAAGAGAAAATGAAAAACAGGTTTTCGAAATTCTGAAAGGATTCTTATGAAAGGTAATGGTTCACTAACATAATGATACCCTACCGTAAAATTCAATCCAAAATAATTTTTAAAAACTTCACCACTATCTGCAAGATATACTATGCCCACCAAAATCTTCTGGCAAGCAGAAACCCATTACTTTCTGAACGGCAAAAGCTGAAAATTGTCACGAATGAAATTATCTTCAACATTCAGACTGAAACGAGTTTTTATTATTGTTGCCATTTCAGAACTTCCTATTTCAAGAATTTCAAAAGTTATAACTATGTCCAGCTGCTATGACTGCTTCATAGCGTTTGCCTGTCATACATCTCTCAGATGCAAGATCATTCTTGATCGTATGCCGATCATGCCCTATTATTTTACTGGATCCATGGATTTCAAAATTCATTACTTCAACAAGTACTTTATCTCCTAATAGATACTCCGGTTCGCTGATACGTCTGCTGTTAGAGTATTCATTTTGTTTTCTTCTACTGTCCTAATTTTTTTCTAACTCCTTTTCTCAATTTTGACACATATATTGCTAGTTTTTCAGTGACATGATTCATATAACGGACACGTATTGCATTGAATTCAATACCGAAAAGATCTTGGATTCATTTGCTTCATTTATTGGTTTTATTGAAATGTTTTTTCTACCCATTTGCTCTAGGCGTAGTTATAGCCGTATGATAGTGACATATTCTTTTTTCTGTGCAAAACTTCTGTAGCTTAAAGGAGACGAAAGCTTTGCCAGTGTTTTAGATCGCTCGAGTTGGAGATTCAAACTGTTGATAATATTTGTCATCTGTTCAATCACCGGTTTACTTCAAGTACTGGGTACTGCACAAATGAATGGGAATTTTGTGAATAAACCCATAATTACCTGAATGAATCCACAATATGTGTTTTTAGTTTTTATGAATGGCCCAACCTGGTCTATGTGGAGAATTATCTCTATTTAGCCTTATAGTATTGACACTGCACCTATTGGCTTTGCACCTTCTCATCCTGGGAAACCAAAATCTCTCCATAACTCTCTGCAGTGTCTTTTCAATGAAGAAATTACCCATTCCATCCATCTTCTGTTATTCTAAAATCATATTTATTAGAAACATCTTCCTCTTTTCCAAAATTTTCAGTATTTTTCTAATTTACGGGTTTTAATTCTGAACTTTAGCTAACCAGTCTACCTCAGAAATGATCATAACTGATTCGACACGATATTTTTCAGTTCCACTGGGCATTTAGTTGCGACTCAATGCATCGACGTGCCGCATTTGTTGTCCCGGATTTTTGAAGCCTCAAAATCAACAGACATATTCTTGCAGTGATAGTTTTCTTTTGGAGAGTATTTTTAACATTTAACAATTCGTATGGATCCAACATTCAAGTTAGTGACGAAATTTTTCAACATTAGCAATTATAGCAATCAGCTCAAGTTCGAAAAATAAAATTCATTTTTTCGAGCTGAAGTCTGCATACAATAATAACGCCACTGGTTTTTTGCCAACGTCTGTGACTTTCATGAGAATTCCACACAATCCGTTTCCACTGCCTTCAATATACGGCATAGCTTCCAGGTTCGAATAAAAAATTATGAGACACGGTCTCGATATAAGTATTTTTTGATTGCTTTTTCAGCTGCAGGAAAACCCAGAAAAACCTGCAGCATGACATCATCTGATGATCTTGATCTGCCAATGTCCTCTCTTCCATAAAACAAAATGTAGGGTGTCTCCAGAGGCTACAATAAATTCAAGACATCGCCAGAATAAGTTCATCTGTCCATGCCCAATTTTGACTTTCACGCAATAACTTTTTTTAGTATGTTCGACTCATCAGCAAATTCATATATGAATTTTCTGAAGTAATGTATCAAACCTGATTACTGACGGAGTTGATGAACATTCTTAGGTTGTGAAAACTTCACAATATTTTATTATTATTATTATTATATTATGTTATCTTCTTACGTGTCTCGTTTTACCACAAAAGTGACAATGCAATTTTTTCTTCGTTTGAAATTTACCTTTATACGAAATTTTGTGGTCTTGGTGAAACTATGCAAATTTCAATCAATATTTTCAACAGATTTGCTGGCTATATGCAAGAAAAGAGATATATCTATCTCTTTGAGATCTATTTGAGATATACCACAAAGGGGCCATCCAATAATCACGTTAGGCTTGAAAGAGGGGGAAGTTAGCAAAAATAACGAAATATCACAAGGGGGTATGGGGGTGTAATAAGATATCAGGTGTATTTATTTTTTCGTGAAACGCGCGATTTCTAAACCGAGAAATGGCGTGTAATGTGACTTTGACTCGCCGTTACCAGGCAACGGCGCCGAATACATGCACACACCGTTACCTCGTACGTTTTTCCTTAAAACAATGTCTAAATTAGGTGATTTGTATGAAAGACCTATTTGCAGAGTATAAGAAAGGAACAATTTCAAGATTCTTTGTAGTTCCTAAAAAGTAAACGTGATTTTGGGTGTGGAAGGGGGCAATCAGTCTTAAAAAAACCTCACCACGTATTACCAAGAGGACGGGGGGTTGAAAATGCTTAGAAAAACATCACGTGATTAATGTACGGCCCCTAAGTAGTTTCTTCCATTCTGCCCATGAAAATTTTGCCCATCCAATTCAATCCTTGATGTAATTATAGTACCAACTTTCAGCTCTACCTTTCAACTTCTGAAGTGCCTGAAATGTCATCGTATTTTCGTCCCAGCTATAACAGTGGTCATGCTCATCGATAATATGGACCATTCGGAAATATTTTCCTTGCTAGGGTCGAAATCTGGTACAACTTCTGCAAAGACATTACTGGTAGGTCTTTCACGAATGAAGTGTAGTACTCTCCTCGAATTAAACCAGCTGTTTCTCAGTTGTGTCACTTTTTGGATCTACCCGAATGTCTCGACTTTCTTGAACCTCTGGATGATTTTCTTGAAGTCTTTCTTCCATGAAATCTTTGGCGATCCTCTGAAGGAAGTCGAACTTGAACTTGTAGTTGAATCAGTAGAACCTGATCTTGTGCTTTGATTCCGTTTATTTTTTGACATGTTGGCATATTCGACAATTTTGTTGAATCATGCAATCTAACTTACACGCGGTTCTTTATCCCATTTCTGAGATATTGGAGAGTAGAAATGTTAAATACTAAATTCCTAATTCCAAATATTTATTGGGATTCAAAACTCTACAAAATGGTTCCATCTGTCTATGTTATGTGTTTATAAATTGAACTAACTCACAGGAAAGCACGTGCATGTCTACTGGATGGCAGATTATCTCGTGATATCTAACATAAGTTATGTCACATGCCGACTGAATGAGAGTAACTTGGTGAATAGAGATCAGGGGACAGAAAACGAAAATTCAGGCCAAGAGAATTCCAGCCTCGTTCTGTCCGAAAGAAAGGAGAGAGTTTTCTTAAAGAGGTTTCATCAATTTCACCATTGGCTGTAGGCATGAACCTAAAAGCCTTGACAGAAGTGGCAGTTAAAAGATATTTACTTGAGAAGTCTGGAGTTGGAAAGGTCCTCCAACTTACTGAAATCATTGTAGTGTTTCTCTTATTGCGACCCAATACCTAACATTAGCTTGTTACTCAATTTAGAAGAGGTCAGACAACTCAACCACGTAGCATATAATCGTTGGAGGAATTATCACATTTTGTCAGTATGTCCATTGCCACCTGATCGAAGAGCTTCCATTCAATTATTGGACTATCTTATGTGTAACTGGAAGTTCTTAGTTTTCGTAGGATCTTACGATTTCATAAAGTTTCGACCTATGATGTCGATAAGATTGTTATAGTTCTGGTGTATTTGGGAGCTGATGCAAGCATTTTGCCCCAATATTACTAAGAATTGCCATTCGAATATTCATATTTGAATATCTGAAACTCTTTTTCACACTATTCTATTTTTTCCACAACGATTTCATTGAATTTTTCAATTTCAACATCAATTATTACATCTAGCTTTCTAAAATGTTTTATCCCAATCTCTGTTTTTGAGACAGCAATAACAAATAGCTCATTTTAGTTTATCAATGGTGACAACTTGATTGCAGTCATACCTGTAATTGAGACATTTAAATTATTATTCTGTTGAAAACAATAATATTTACATTTCAGGTGATGTCGATATTACAAAAGAAGCTCCAGAAGTTTTTCATGTACCTGCCGATGGACTACTGGAACGCTTACGAACTAATTATAGAAACACTTTATATTATCAATATGGTCAAAATAGCTACTACGATTTATATGTCTACCTGAGGAAATTCAGAACTTCTTCCCAAACTCAATCCGCCAGTTTGAATCTAAGATGAAATTGTTGTACTATCTTGTTGTGAAACGTCAAGGACTGTTTGAAATTTTTTGTATATTATTCATTAATATAAGCAGTGATCAAAACAATTTTAACTTATTTTTTTTGTACTTATGATGCACTGTTTGGAACCTTTGGTGTAGTAATGAATATTACTGGAGTTTTTTCCCAACACCAATTCGTTATTTTTAACACCTCGATACGTGTTTCGATCACCAAGTGATCATCTTCAAAAAGGAAAACTAAAACTAGAAACTAATGCCAAGCTAACCCTATTTATGGTATATAGGTATCCCATACAGGTAAACCATCCAGGTGTACCACCCATACAGGTATACCAACCTAAATTAATTTTACAATTTTGCCTTATCTATTATTTTACAATATATGTTTATATAAAACAATTTTCAGCTATATAACAATTTATTTCACAATATTGCCTATCTAAATTTATTTTTGCAATGTGTCCTTATGTAGTAATCAGTAAACCCAACAATATTATTTTATTTCAACAAGCTATATAATATGCTCTTTGGTAAAGGTCCGTCATCGTTATTCATAATATTATTGTGTTTACTTATATCTACACTCTCATAGGCATCTAGTTGCCTGTTGTTGTTAACTTGTCTAACTAATCCTTATAAACTGAAGTCTATGGAATGGTTTCGTTGCAAAATATGATGGGCGACTGCTGATTTTTCAGGTCTTCTATATTTTAAGTGTGCTATGTGTTCCTTATATCTTACTTTAATAGATCTTTTTGTCTGTCCATAATATTTTGCATCGCAGTCCATACATTCAGTTTCGTAAATTCCAGACTTTTCCGAATTCTAGACTTCGTCTTTTGGACTTCCCAAAAGGCTCTGTAATGTATGACTTATTTTAAAACCCACTTTCATACCTAGTTCCTTGAAAATCTTTCCAAAGTTCCTCGTATATTGGTGGTATGGAACTAAGATGTATTTATCTTGGTTTTTGTCCTTTCTGAAAGTCGAGATTTCGTTCATTCTTAACCCAAACTTCTTCTTCCTTATTATGTCATCTACAATACCCCTCGAGAAACCGTTAGTTACTGCTACTTCCTGTGTCTTTCTTTGGTGAACCTATCATGTGTTAGAGGGAAAGTCAAAAGGCGATGCACTAAAAAATTCAACCTAGCACGTTTTTGTTGTCTACAGTGATGTGAACTGTCAGGAATATACCTGTACGTGCTTGTTTCTTTTCTAAATATATCGTATTCTAACCCTCCAAATTGGCTTCTCATTACCAAAACGTCAAAAAATGGTAGTTGTCCCTTATTTTCTAACTCATACGTTAATTTTATTGATGGACATCTATTATTTAAAATGGAAACAAAGTCGTCAATATTCGATTTTTTGGTATCGAATATTGCGAAAATATCATCCACATACCTTAGCCAAATCCTAGGAAAATACTTCGACTTTTCTTTGGTTTCCATTTCGAATCTGCTCATGAACAGGTCTGCCAGGTAGGGGGACACGGGGTTTCCTATGGCCGTTCCTTCCTGTTGTTCATAAAATCAACCTTCTACCTGGAACCGATTTTGTTTCATACACAAATTAGTGAGAAAAACGAATTCATCGATTTTGTTATTATTGAAATAATTTTTCTCTACTAATTCCCTGAGGTATTGCAAGGTCTGCGGGATCGGGACGCTAGGAAATAAGGAACTAACATCAAAAGAAACCAAAATCTCACCTTCCTGCAGAACCACGTTTTTTGTATGTTGTATGAACTCTGAAGAGTTTTTTATACTAAAACTTGATTCCGCAATAGACAAGGTTTCAAATTCCTTAGACAGTGTTATACCGTTAAATATATGTACTAGTTGTTCAACACCCTTTCGCGGCAGATGGCGCTGTAGAACTACCTTAACCCCATCCACACCTGGAGCTTTGATTTTCCACAGGGAGCATTATCCAGATTGTCTGAAGCACGCGGAGGTAGTACCCATACATAAGTCTGAAAAACATAAAACCCTTATTGCTACCTATCGCCCGATCTCGCTGCTCAGTGCGGTGGCGAAGGTCATTGATGATATTCTTTTGAGTAGACTTCTTCGCCTGGAAGACAGGATGAACCTCATTCCTGAAGAGCAATTCGGGTTCCGGCGAGGTCGAAGTACGACTTGTCAACTATTCCGAGTTGTTCACGGGGTGAAGGAATTCATCAACCGGTTAATGAAAAAGCTTTCGATGAAGTTTGGTTAGAAGGATTTGTCGCCAATATGTGGTCGGTAGGTATGCCCTTATATGTGATTACGATTCTTGAATCCTACTTTAGCAACCGAGCTTTTTGTGTGAGAGTGGACCAAACCACATCTACGAATTATCCAATTGAAGCATGTGTTCCGTAGGGGTCCTGCCTGTCACTACTGCACTTGTACTCTCTGTACACGCACGACTTTTCGATATGTGGGCATATACACAGATGATACTGCGATAAATGCGAGCGAGGTGGCGGAGCAACAGCCTCAGATCCTCATCAACAGGTTGGTCGTGTCGTATTTCTAGCGTTACAAAATAGAGATCAACCTTAATAGAACGGAGCTCGTAAACTATTAACGTGAAGATCTTCGGGAAGTTGCGAGTCAAGGGTAACTGCATTGACGAGAAGAGAAGCGCGTGATATCTGGGAGTTATCCTGGATAGGTGCCTGAATTTTTAGTAACATCTAAGCTTGGCGACCCAACGAGCGAGCAAGGCGGTGTAACGAAAGTATCCGCTCATTTTTTTCAAGGACAAAACACAAGAACAACAGGGAAATCCTTAAGGCGCTCTAAAAGAGGTGCCCGTACAAAAGTAGCGATTCACATTGGATTCGAATTGATGGAGAAGAAATCCATTTGAAAAAACGTTCTCAGGAAGTTTATTTCACGCAGTAGAACTTTGAAATGATGACCGCTTTTGGTGGAATCAAATGTGCCAAGTAACTTAAATATTTTTCGTGAAAGTATCCGTAGAAGAGAGACAAATCTCTGATATTTCTTCAATGTTCCAGACTATCAAGGTTTCAAGTGATGTTCGCCTATCCGAACAGGCGGATGACTCTTTTTTGGATCGAGCCCAGCAGCTTCAGAGTATGCTTAGGGGCGGATCGCCATACATGAGAACAATACTCTTGAAATGATCTGATCTGAGCTTTACAAAGCATCAAAAGTTGCTGAGGTGTATACAATTTTCTGGTTCTGAACAGTGTTTCAAGGTTTTGAGAAGCAGCCTCTGCAATTCCAGCGACATGATTGTGCCAAGATATATTGGTGTTCTGCTTTTCTGGGCGGTGACAAATCCAACAAATAAAAATCATGAAAAGTGATCCTGCAGTTCTTGGGTTATATCGAGTGGTCCAACGAAAAGTATGCACCTTGATTTCCTCCTTTTTTTGTAACTTAACGCAAAAATGCTCGGACAGGTCAATTTTGCTTTTGAGCAAAATTTCAAATGGAAAGTGGGTTCGAGTGGTGTATCATTTGAAAAGGCACAAAATTCTCTTTCCAATGATACCTAATTCGTTGTATTTACTTGAATAGTTATAAAAAAAGCAAAAACATTTACTCGATATTTTTGGTGTTAATGAAAATGCGGAAAAAAACGGCATTTTTATCACTACTACATTCCTCAATTTCTCTGGTGCGTTTTTTGGTTCAAATAACAACAGCAGATNCATCGAAAACAATAATTTTGATTAACTGTGAGTTGTTATTTCAAAAATTCAGTTTTGTTTTCAGATACTAATTTTTGGTTCTAATCCTCTCTATATTGAGCTAAAGTTTTGATAAAAAATCGTTGTTTCAAACATTTATTGTATTTCAACAAGAATAAATGACATGGAAACAAATCAATTTCAACAAATTGGCTTACTGACTGGGGTTTTCAATACTTTCTTTATTTTCTCTAGTACTTGGTACCTCATTTTGTATTACTTCGTAATCATTAGCAGTAGTTACCTCACTTTTCAATACTTGTTCTACATCACCATCGTTCATGGTATCATTAACTTGCTGATGCTGTTGGTATGTGTGTGGAGATATATTACCGATTTGATCATATTGCTCCATTTGGCCCATGTAGGCATCAGGATGTACTTCTGTCGCGTTAATTCCTTCACTTCCTGATGCTTGCAAATTATCAGGATATATTCCATCCTGATTTGGATAAATCCCAGTATCATTTTCACCGATATTCATCACTTCATTGTACTGATAATTTTGGGGGTTATTTTCAACGTATTGGCCATCCTGGTTCACGTAAAGCTGATGTCCTTCTTCTAAGTTGTGGATTTCTCCTGTTTGATGGTACATTTGGCTTTCATCAAATTGCCCATATTGCTGGTGATACGTTTCACTATTTTCTTCATAATGTTGGCCAGTATTGTTATACTGTTGATCATAATGATATTCCGCATTTGGATCATATTCTTGAAGATGACTATTCTCCTCATAGTGAAGAATGGGTTGACCATTTTCATCATACTGAAGATGACTACCGTGTTCGAATTGTTGGGTATGGTGATCGTACTGCTCATCTAGATGCTGATCTTGTTGTTGATCACTGCTATCGATCTCATGTTCAAATTCGAAAGTTCTCATAGATTGTTGTATCTCATGTGGTACTTGTTCAGAATGTATTTCATCAAAAGTTACTTGATTTGGAGAAACATTTTGTGTTTCACATTCCTCTTTGTTTGTTTTTGATATTTCAGTATCTTGATGCTGTTTTGAATTTTCTTCCTGTTCCTTATCTAAAGTTTCTGTTGCCAGATCCAATTCTTCAGTTTTGTTTGGATGAGTGGGAATTTTTCTGTTTTCAGTACGATTATTGTCAATATTTGAATTCTGAAGATGTTCTGTTTCACTGCAATGAAGAGTTTGTTCAATGTGATTTATCGGTTGGTCATATTCGTCATATGTATTGTCAGAGTATATAACAGATTGTCTATTCACATCAGGCTGTAACTTAGAGCCTGTATTTTCGTTATTTCGATTATTATTCTGTTCAGAAAATTCATCGAGTTTCGTTGTAGAAAATTGTTTTGGTTTCCTATCGGTAAAGTACTGATTGGATTCGTTAAGATCATCGTCATAATCTGGCTGAGTGATTTGATAATCGTTATAATTATTCAATGGTCCAGTTTCTTTTTTATCATGGACTTCATTATTTTCATCAACATGCTGATAACCAACATGTTCTTCAGTTAATTGATAGCTCTTATCAAGATTTTTTTCGACCTTTGAATTTTGATACTCATTCCTGTTCAATGAAGCAACATTCTCAGATTTTTTTTCTATCAAATCATGCTCTCCTGACGGACATATATCCTGATTTCTGGATTTATTATTGATGATATTCTNAAAAATCCTTTCCTATTGCACATCAACAACATAAAACGAACCTACATACAAAGTTTCAGCCTCCGAAAATATAGCGGTACAGACAAACAGTGATGAAAAGATAATTTTCATATGTAAACGCGCCCCTTTTATCTCCAGGGATGCTCTTCAGTTGGAATATTTGGAAATCATTTCTTATTGCACATCAACAACATAAAAGGAACCTACATACAAAATTTCAGCCTCCGAAAATATAGCCGATTTTATACTGGCCGTCCAAAATCGGTGTGTGTGCAACTAGCGTAAGTGTTTCATAGATCATAAGAACCATCAGAATTAACATAAAATCTACAGTGATTTATCTGCTCCTATAAAAAAAAGTAATTCAAAAGCTAGATAGATGAAAATCTTGAAAGAACCCTGAATATAATGAAGTTTGCCCAAAATTTTATGCAATTCCTAAAATTCATAGAGAGGTCCTTGCAGCAAGACTTCTTCAACAGGAAATCCTACAGAACTGTTGGCGTCATTTTGAAACTCCCGATTTCTTTGTTCAGAACTGTATACTTATAGTAGGGGAGCCCACGATGCAAAATGGGGATTTACTCAAGCGTCATAGAGACATATTAGGTTGCAAAGCTCAGATGATAAGAAGAAAAAAATGTTATATAATATATAACTTTTCATCGGTGGGGGAAGCGGCTATAGATTTTTAAATAAGTAAAAGAATACTGTTGCATGGACATACTCGAGCGCGTCAGATATTGATAGTATCAATGTTCTACGTATTTTTAATAATGTTCGTATGTTAATCTGATCGTTTACATGATGCGGGTGGTTGTACGTAAGGGTTAAAAGTGAGAAGAAAAAAAATTTAATCGAGCGCGTCAGATTTTCTAGGGGGGTGTGAAGTGCAACAAAAAAAGCTCTCATTCAATAATCTGACGCAAACTCGCGGTCATTATTATAATGCGCAAAAAAAATCGCCATTTTGAAATACTCAAGCGCGTCAGATTAAGATATATATGGTTCATCTTTATGTTCTAGACATGATGTCTCACAATCTGACGATTATCTAGAGGGATTCGCCTAATCAGACAAAAAAAAGTATTATTTTTTAAATCATTGAACTTAAATAATCGAAAAGCTCAGGAAATAGCATGCAAATAAATAAGTGTATGTTTTTCAAAAATTTTAATTTTTTATAATCAATTGATTAATTAATCATCATCTTCATCACGAACGAGTCTCTGTGATCAGCTGTGATGGTGTCATGGCAACAGAATTCAGAGTGGGGACGAAGTGAGAGAGTAACAGATAGAGAAAAAGTGAAAGAGGAATAGAAACTCGGAGAGGGAAATAGAGGTATCATACAGCTGCACGCATTAAACTTTATCGATGACTTTTTGTTATTTCGGCTTGCGGAAATCGTCAGATTGTATATTTTTCGTTATCCTTGAATTATATCCTTCAAAATAAAAAAAATTAGCTACGCTCGAGAATGTCGAAATGGCGTTTCTTTTACAACTTTGCTGCTCTACCCTTTCTTTACGTCACTCTCAAATTGTCAGGTTACTGGAATATACACTTTTCAGCATGTAATTAACTCACCTTACCTTAATCTGACGCGTTCGAGAATTTCTGACGATCAATTTTTTTTACTCATCTGATCGTTTATCCTTCACTATATAGGGGGCTCATATTTGGTGGAGGTACTTAACCG